CTGGCTGTGATATTTCTGACATATTGCTTAAAGTGGCTTAAAGTAAACCACTCACTCACTCACGTCTGATGTGGAGTTTCATTAGCCATTATTTGGCTCTATTATTTACTGTGTGGCTTGGACGGCCTCCGTGGTGTAGTGGTTAGAGCGTCCACCCGGAGAGCGGAAGGTCGCGGGTTCGATCCCCGACCGCGTCATGCCAAAAGACGTTAAAATATGGAACTTGTTGGTCCCTGCCTGGCGCTCGGCATTAATGGGTACAACAAGGACTGGTTGGCTCGGAGTCAGTATAATGTGTCTGAGTGGGGTATTCATGCTTCACTGCGGCATGATATCTCAGTCGGCTAGCACTACAAACCAGTATAAGTCTGGGCTAGTACAAGCAGCCGCACATATACATACACACGCATGCACGTCGTCATATCAGCGAAATATTCTCAAGCACGACGTGAAGCCCAGTTTCACATCACCTAACCTGTGTGGCTTGGTTTTCAGAGACAATCGATTCTCGAGGAGAGTAGGTTTATTTTAAAAAAAAATATAGATGTGAACTCTGTGTCTTAGTGCAGGTTTAAACAGTAAACAAGTCGGAGTTGACTCAATCTTGAACATGACTAAACTCTTCGAAACAGACCTCGTCTTATAAATTGGCTTGGAAGATGAAGGTTCATAATGCTTGTGTAATCTCCAAAAGGAAATGAAAGGTCTCGTGATCAAGCTATATTACCGAAAAGTTTTTGATGGTTCGACTTGGTATCGCTTCTAGTGAAAAGCCCCATTCGCTGTCTGGGCTGCGTGTAGAATGGAGCTGATAATGGGTGATTGAGTGAGTTTAGCTTTACACCGCTTTTAACCATATTCCAGCAATATCAGGCGGGGAACACAAGGGATGGGCTTTACACATTGTACCCATGTGGGGAATCGAACCCGGATCTTCGGCGTGACGAGCGGACGATTAATCCACTAGGATACCCCAACCTGATTAACATCACCTATCGCCCGTGAAGTTCCGGGTTAGAATTGGTCTTCAGCAACCCATGCTTGTCGTAAGAGGCGACTAATGGTATCGGGTGGTCAGGCTCGCTGACTTGGTTGACACGTGTCATCGTATCCCAATTCCTCATGTTGTCAATCACTGGCTTGTCTGGCCCAGACTGGATTATTTACAGACCACCGCCATATAGCTAGAATATTGCCGAGTTCGGCGTTAAACAACAGCATAACTTATGAAAAAAGTGAAACTGAAAGCAGGATAGTTAAAACCGAAAGGAAAATAAATAAATAAATAATAAAAAATCATAAACAAACAAATTTAGTTTTTAGTTGTTTCTTCCAAACTGAGAACAGAGTACAAAGACGTGATGAGTATGAGCGGAGTTCACTGAACCCGCGCAGTAACTAATAATAGTTTACACGACACAGCCAGTTCCTGGAACTAGCGCTTCTCTTGGAGCACTGGATAAAGTCGTTGTAACCTTGGTGCAGTCACACTATTTATACAGCGCCACAATACTGACTAGGGGTGTTCACTAGCTAGCACAGGCAAGAGCAAGGTAGGCAAGTTATGTGTATTCCTAAGACAGCTGAGAATTACTTTAGATACGTGATCTTCTTTATCAGCTCAAATATTATTTCCTTAATTTGAAAAACTTTCTTTTGGAAACCAAAAATGGACTTCACACATTGTACCCATGTGCGGAATCGAACCCGGGTCCTTGGCGTGACGAGCGAACGCTTTAACCTACCACTAGGCTACCGCACCGCCCCAATCATCGTAAGTACTTAAAGTCGCCATTAATATACTTACCCTTGGGTAACCACACGATGCTTATTTTATTTTAGCTGTAGATTTATTCTTATAATTGAAAGCAATCGATTTGCAAATGCTTAGGCAAGTTTCGTATGATTATGACTGCAAAATCTAAAAAAGCTGGAACTCTTGCATGTCTGTACGTTTACCGTCATTGCCGCACTTATCATCATATTGTTAATCGCACCTTTGCTTCATTTATTTATGAACACATGCTTATTTATCTAGGAACACATAAGTTGTTAATTTATGTCCTTTACTTGCAACCATCTTGATTTTGGAATTGTTATGTTGCTGGGGCGGTATTATATAAGCATAACAATGCTTGTTTACCAACCCAGGTTTTAGAAAATAAATATATTTAAAGCATTTATTCTGCCCATTCTTCTTAAAGCGGGTAGCCTAATACATGTAGTGGATTGTTATGTTGCTGCGGTGGTATATATAATAACATAACAATGCTTGTTTACCAACCCAGGTTTTAGAAAATAAATATATTTAAAGCATTTATTCTGCCCATTCTTCTTAAAGCGGGTAGCCTAATACATGTAGTGGATTGTTATGTTGCTGCGGTGGTATATATAATAACATAACAATGCTTGTTTACCAACCCAGGTTTTAGAAAATAAATATATTTAAAGCATTTATTCTGCCCATTCTTCTTAAAGCGGGTAGCCTATGTGGATTGTTATGTTGCTGCGGTGGTATATATAATAACATAACAATGCTTGTTTACCAACCCATGTTTTAGAAAATAAATATGTTTAAACCATTTATTCTGCCCATTCTTCTTAAAGCGGGTAGCCTAATACATGTAGTGGATTGTTATGTTGCTGGAGGGTATATATAATAACATAACAATGCTTGTTTACCAACCCAGGTTTTAGAAAATAAATATGTTTAAACCATTTATTCTGCCCATTCTTCTTAAAGCGGGTAGCCTAATACATGTAGTGGATTGTTATGTTGCTGGGGCGGTATATATAATAACATAACAATGCTTGTTTACCAACCCAGGTTTTAGAAAATAAATATGTTTAAACCATTTATTCTGCCCATTCTTCTTAAAGCGGGTAGCCTAATGCATGTCACGCTGAAGATCCGGGTTTGACTATGAACTAGAACAGTAAAGACATCTTTAATTGTTTGCATATATTTTACCTTTTATTGCATTTTTCACCCTAGGTTGCAAACAGGAAATATAAGTACCCCAGTACTACAGTGTATGACCGTGAGGACAGAAAAGCAATGTATGTCATCTTGTTCATCTGGCAATTGTATTTACGTTATTTATGAAGACCTTATTTAATTCAATCATTTTCATTTCAACATATGCACATTGTCAAGTGTACAAATTGACAAATACCAAACGATCAGAGGACTTATATACTCCTCAAAAAAAAAAAAACAAATTTTAATTTTAGGAAAATATTTGATCAATGGATGCTGATTCCCAGCATGTCGGGGAATGGTTGCCGACGCGTTTGAAAAAAGAAACGTGTAACAAAAACGTAACGTTACACTCACGTCTGTAGTGAATCACGAGCATCATGAAATTGTGTATCACCCAGAGCTGAAGCCTATGACTGTAGGCTTTAAAAAGCCACATCAATGGTACTCCACATGCATTGCTTTAAGCCACTATAGACGACAAGAGAATGAAAAGACTGACAGAAGCTCAACGACACAACGCCATCGGCCGTTTACAAGGATCGCAGCATGATGTGGCAAGGCACTTCAGCGTGTCCAAACAGACCATCTCAAACCTATGGACCCGATACAAAAATACTGGGAGTGGTAATGACAGACCCAGGTCAGGTCAACCTGGAGTTAACACCACCGCCCAAGATCGCTACATCCGGTTGAGACATTTTCGTTCAAACACCACGGCCGCATCATCCACAACAATCCAAATCCCTGGATTGCTCCGAATCTCCGACCAGACAGTGTGCAATTGGTTATGGAAAGCCAGACTTTTTGCCAGAAGACCAGTTCAACGTCACGTCGTTACCTACTTCTTTGGAGCATGACAATGCTCGACCTCATGTTGCACGTGTTTGACAGGTCTTCCTCCAGCAAAACAATGTCCAGTTGTTACCTTGGCCTTCTCGATCACCGGATTTGTCCCACATTTAACGTCTATAGGATATTCTTGTAATCCGCCACCTCGGACACTACAAGAACTGCACACAGCACTTCAGCAAGTGTATCAAAACATTCCTCAAGACAGCATTCGGCATCTCCTTTCTTCTATGGGTCACCGCTGCCAAGCTGTTATCGATGCTCATGGTGGTCACACCAGATACTGACATTTTACTCTGACCAAGTGACTTTAATAGCCCTCTGTGGTTTTACCAAACACGTTGTGGGTAATGTGATGATTTTACTGTAACTGAACAATGATGTCATGCTTGAATCAGTTATGTGCACTCAGGAAGTAACCCCCCAAACAGCATGTCAAGTTTCTTTTCTTGAAGAGTATGTTTTCTTGTCAAACAGTGGATGTATGTTTTAAGAGTGACGAGAAGATAAAAGTGAAGTATATATTTTTCCAATAGTAATGATAATCGGGACAATAGAGAAACAAGAGATGTTTCAAAGCAGATTTTAGCTGGTCAGTCTGTGACAGCATTTACTTGTTTGTTTACTTGTTTAGTATTTCAACACTAAATACGGAAGTGATACAGACTTCCATCAAATAGTAGTCATCTTTGTGGAGGAGCAGACCCGTGAAGATCCGGGGTAGAATAGGTCTTCAGCAACCCATGCTTGCCGCAAAAGGCGACTGTGCTTGTCGTAAGAGGCGACTAACGGGATCGGGTGGTCAGGATCGCTGACTTGGCTCACACATGTCAACGGTTCCCAATTGCGCAGATAGATGCTCATGTTGTTGATCACTGGATTGTCTGGTCCAGACTCGATTATTTACAGACCGCCGCCATATAGCTGGAATATTGCTGAGTGCGGCGTAAAACTAAACTCACTCACTGGAGGAGCACCTTTTATGGATAGACACTTTTGTTTATTGCAATAGATATGACATTTCGGTGTAGATCCTAACACCCTTATCAAGCAAATGATCTACACTGAAACCTTGCATCTATTGCAATAAAGAAATTGTCTATCCATAAAAAAGTGTTCCTCTTCATCATACCAGCTTCTAAATGCCACTTAAAGAAGGCCATCTTTCAGGGGTGCCAGTTGTTCTTCATGCAATTGTGGACCTACTATCACCGTCACAATGGAGGTGGAGAATAAGTTCAGGAAGCCGTATTTCACGGCTTCTACTCAGCTTGAGATGCCCCAGAGAGAGCTCATCTACTTCCTCCAGGCGGCAGTAGCCAAGGACGGGCATTTCCAGTAAGATGTCTGTCTCATCCTCTTCCTCCTTAATCCTGCTGTCCCAGTTATGACTTCAGTCACACAGAACAATGTCCTCTTCCTCCTTATGATCTTCTGCTGTCCCAGCTTATGACTTCATATTGCTTCTTTGTTAGGCTTTCTCACAGCATCGTTCTCTAATGTCCTTGACAACATGACTACAAGACCTTATCTGTCAGACTCTATCAGACACCACAGCTATATACACCTTCCATCAACAAATTCTTGACTTTGATATCGCTGTCAGATGCTTCAAACAACACCAGACATAGCCTCCATGAGACAGCACCTTCCATCAGACAGAACCTTCTTTGATAGACATCACCTTGACCTACTTGTATCATACAACACCTCCATCAGCAGAACCTTCTTTTGATAGACAACACCTCCATCAGACAGAACCTTCTTTGATAGACACCTCCATCAGACAGAACCCATAGACACAGACCTCCATCAGACAGAACCTTCTTTGATAGACATGATCAACTCCATCAGACAGAACCTTCCATCAGACAGAACCTTCTTTGATAGACAACACCTCCATCAGACAGAACCTTCTTTGATAGACAACACCTCCATCAGACAGACATCACCTCCATCAGACAGAACCTTCTTTGATAGACATCACCTCCATCAGACAGAACCTTCTTTGATAGACAACACCTCCATCAGACAGAACCTTCTTTGATAGACAACACCTCCATCAGACAGAACCTTCTTTGATAGACATCACCTCCATCAGACAGAACCTTCTTTGATAGACATCACCTCCATCAGACAGAACCTTCTTTGATAGACATACACCTCCATCAGACAGAACCTTCTTTGATAGACATCACCTCCATCAGACAGAACCTTCTTTGATAGACAACACCTCCATCAGACAGCACCTTCTTTGATAGACATCACCTCCATCAGACAGAACCTTCTTTGATAGACATCACACCTCATCAGACAGAACCTTCTTTGATAGACATCACCTCCATCAGACAGAACACTTTCTTTGATAGACATCACCTCCATCAGACAGAACCTTCTTTGATAGACATCACCTCCATCAGACAGAACCTTCTTTGATAGACAACACCTCCATCAGACAGAACCTTCTTTGATAGACAGACACACTCCATCAGACAGAACCTTCTTTGATAGACAACACATCCATCAGACAGAACCTTCTTTGATAGACATCACCTCCATCAGACACCTTCTTTGATAGACATCACCTCCATCAGACAGAACCTTCTTTTGATAGACATAGACACCTCCATCCATCAGACAGAACCTTCTTTGATAGACAACACATCCATCAGACAGACACCTTCTTTGATAGACAACACCTCCATCAGACAGAACCTTCTTTGATAGACAACACCTCCATCAGACAGAACCTTCTTTGATAGACAACACCTCCATCAGACAGAACCTTCTTTGATAGACAACACCTCCATCAGACAGAACCTTCTTTGATAGACATCACCTCCATCAGACAGAACCTTCTTTGATAGACAACACCTCCATCAGACAGAACCTTCTTTGATAGACAACACCTCCATCAGACAGAACCTTCTTTGATAGACAGACACCTCCATCAGACAGAACCAGACATCACCTCCATCAGAACCTTCTTTGATAGACAACACCTCCATCAGACAGAACCTTCTTTGATAGACATCACCTCCATCAGACAGAACCTTCTTTGATAGACATCACCTCCATCAGACAGAACCTTCTTTGATAGACAACACCTCCATCAGACAGAACCTTCTTTGATAGACAACACCTCCATCAGACAGAACCTTCTTTGATAGACAACACCTCCATCAGACAGAACCTTCTTTGATAGACTGATCCTGATTTAAAAATATAACTGGAAAAAAACTAGACAACAAAAGCAAGATTGGACATTTTTTAATTTCGCAGGACATGTTTAATCTTTCACTTGATTCTGACAATACCCTATAAAACAGAATATGCTATTAATGATTTAGGTTAGATCAATCTTAAATGCTGATTTAGTCAGACGACCAAAGGATACTCAGATATTGACTCTTATGTTGAGAATGTGAATGACTCAGATATCAAACTTAAGATAGATGACAGCTTATTCTTAGAAACATTTCTGATGAATGTTCGAGGTAAATCAATATCTTTTTCATCTTATCTTAAAAAGAGAACAAAGGACAAAGCTAATGAATTAGAAATAGGAGATTGTGAAGATATTATTAGAAAAGATTTTCAAAACGTAGATGAAGCCTTACTATCTGAACTTTCTAAATTATAATCAGAACTACAACAAATTAAGGAGAGAAGACATACGACTGATTCAACTCAGAAACATAATATTATGGTATGAAGAAGAGGAAAAACCAACAAAATATTTCTGTCACTTAGAAAATAGGAATTATGTAAACAAATCAATAAATAAAATTATTACAGATAAGAATGAAGAAATTACTGACAGCAATGCGATCTTAAATGAACTTTAAAGAGTTTATAAGAAACTGTATTCTTCTGCTGAGAATTATGAGAACGATGCCTGTTTAGAAAATATGATAACCCAACCTTGAGTCACCAACAGAGACATATTGGAAATAGAATTAGACATAAATGAAATATCATTGGCAATAAGAAGTATGAAAAATAACAAAAGCCCAGGTATAGATGCATTTCCAATTGATTTCTTTCAATTCTTCTGGAAAGAACTTAAGGTCTGGATTTTCAGATTTATCAAAGATGTATCAAAACGAAATAAGATGCTTCTTACCACGAAGAGAGGAGTTATCACTTCTACACCTAAAGCTAATAAAAATAGGACCTTATCGAAGAACTGGAGACCAATTACTTTATTAAATGCTCTGTATAAATGAATAAGTGCATGTATCTCAAATCGGTTAAAAACTACCCTTGATTCCCTGATGCATAATAACCAAACTGGATTTATGCCTGGCAGAACATTAAGTGAAAACACAAGGTTATCATATGACATTATGTTTGAAACAAAGAAAAGAGACATGTCAGGTTTACTACTTTTTATTGATTTCGAAAAAGCATTTGACACAGTTTCCAAGGATTTTATCAATTCTGTCCTAGTAAAATTTGGTTTTGGTCCAAAGATTATACGCTGGATTAATGTCTTAACATATGACACATCTTCATGTGTTATTCAGAATGGGCATCTCTCTGATTTCTTCCCAAATCAACGGGGTTGTAGGCAAGGGGATCCCATATCTCCATATCTGTTTCTTTTTGTGGCTGAAAACTTGTATTCTGAAATACATTTTACAGGATGTCATGATAAGACAACATGAAGGACAATAAAGGGTATTGTAATTAATGATGAAATAGAATACAAATTAGGTCAATATGCAGATTACTGGCAACTTGGAGAAAAACACATTTGACGCTGATCGGGAAAATTACTGTTATTAACACATTGGCTCTTTCAAAATTAGTTCATATTTTAACACTTTACCTAACCCTCCAGATGATTTTATCACCACGCTTGAGAGAGTATTTTTTAAATTCATCTGGAATGACAAAAATGACAAAATCAAACGGAGCACAAAAGATTACAAATTGGGGGGATCTACGCATGGTTGATATTAAGACCTTTGTTAATGCCATGAAATTATCTACTCTCAAACTATGCTTAATAAAGACCAAATCCTGGTAACCCATGCAATTTTCCTTTAAGGATATATTCTAAAATATGGAGCAAATTTTCAGAATATAATTGCAGTTGATAATCCTTTTTGGAAAGATGTTTTAAAGGCATGGAAATTATATTGTACCAAAAAAATAATATAGATGCAGAGAACATTAATGAAATCTTATCCCAGCCTTTATGGTTGAATAACAATTTCAAAAACTCAAACCACATTATTAGACACTTGGTAAAAAGTGGAATCTTGACAATTAAAGATCTGTGTGATGAACATGGGTTTATATCCTTTGATCATTTGAAGCTTAAATTTGATATAAGAGGTACATACTTAGATCTTGGATATCGAGGTGGAAACGGCATTATGACGTCACTATCGCTGAATAACCTAGTGTGGTTAGACAACACCTGTTTCAAATCACAAAATTATCCCAGAAAGATATGTATTGAGAACATGCGTGTAATAAATATATCTTTTCCCCAGCCCCTCCACAAAACAATTGTCGATGAAATGTGCACCACCGAGTTATCACTCTTCTTGTAATTATATAGCTTCACAGCTGAGTATTATGCGACACCAGCGGTGACAGGATATATGGTCCTGAGCTTGAACAAATTAGCTGGGAGCACCGAGGACAAGACTTACTGGCAGATCCTGGACAACGGGAAACCTATACCTGTAGGTAGGTACCCTTCAGTGAGTGAGTGAGTGAGTGAGAGTGAATGAGTATGGTCTTACGCCTCTTTTAGCAATATTCCAGCAATATCACAGCAGGGAGACCAGAAATGGGCTTCACACATTGTACCCATGCGGGGAATCGAACCCGGCTCTTTGACATGTCGAGTGCTGGTATGAAAGAAGACATGTAACTTGTTTGGGTGACATTTTACAAGTTGGGAAGTACAATATAGAACAAACTTTATGGATAACACCTATGAATATAAGAAGTTATCCATGAAGTTTGTTCTCTAAATAACATACATGTATGTACATTTGTATGTGTGTGTGTGCTTGTGTGTGTGCTTGGGTGCATGTATGTAGGTGGGTGTGAGTCATGTAAGGACATGTAAGCACACATGATGACAGTAGGAATGAGTTAGTGAGTTAAATGTTATGACAGTTTTAGACTGACTGACTGACTGAGTTTGGTTTTACGCAGCTTTTAGCAATATTCCAGTAACATCACGGCGGGGGACACCAGAAATGGCCTTCACACAATGTATCCATGTGGGGAATCGAACCCGGGTCTTCGGCATGACGAGCGAACGCCTTAACCACTAGGCTACACCACCGCCCTACATATACTTACATTGTGTTTCCACATTGCAGGTGTCAGTTTGTACGTACCAAACAACGGTTCTGTAATTACCTTCAAGTTCACCTCGTACGGTAACGACGACTGTACAAAGAGTTAGACGAGGGTCGAGGTCATCGAAGAGACACGAGACATGAAATACTAGCTGAGGCATGACTCCTCTTCTCAACGCACGTAACAAAACCTCGACTTAACCATGTACAGTGGAACCCCGCTTATCCTAACACCAGATATCCAGAAACCTTGCCTATGATGATATTTACGTAAAACGAAATACATATGACATAAAATGCTTCTTTTATCCAGAAATCTGGTTTTCGGATGACAGCTAATACTTTTCGTTTGTTTGTTTGCTGTTTCACACCAAACTCACCAATATTCCAGCTATATGGCGGTGGGCTGTAATAAGCCAATCTGAACCAGACAATCCAGTGATCAACATCATGAGCATCGTTCTACGCAACTGGGATACGATGACAAGTGTCAACCAAGTCAGCGAGCCTTGCCTGTTATATGACAAACAAATGGTTAATGAAGACCAATTCTAACCCGCATCTTCAGTGGTAGCTACTTTCAAATACCAGCCGACATCATAATGTGATCTATCTGGACATTGTTGTTTTTCTACGAAGACGTGAGTTTAAAACCACATAAACGACTGTCAAGGGAGTATTTTGAAATTGTTTAAGACAAGGGAGCTAACCATGAAAGCCTTGCCAAATTAGGCTGGAATGTCTGGGCTAGATCGTTACTCTGTTATGAGTTATGCCCCTTCTGTGAATTGAATGAAAACATGAACAGATTTGAAAATATCCGTTGACGTCCAGATGAAGGAAACACAATCTAAAAAAAAGGCAGACGGCAGCCACCATGTTGAAGACTGGTTGTCGATTTGGTGATTTTGTCATTGTTTTTAGTCCAGCCAAAAAGTAACTTTGAAATTTCAGCCATTTTCTGCAAATGTTGACACTTGACTCTTATAGTCAGTTTTCTCTCTTATGAATGTACCCTTATGTTTAACCCTTTGAATGCAATCTAATTGAAAAGAAGTAATATTTTAGTGTTTAGCGTATTTGAGTGTGAAATAAATTGTGATGTTACAAAACTCTTTTTGATTGCTTATTTCAATAACTTGGCAATGCTTCATCATTCCCTCATTAAGTGAGTGAGTTTAGTTTTAGCAATATTCCAGCTATATGGTGGTGGGCTGTAAATAATCGAGTCTGGTCCAGACAATCCAGTGATCAACAGCATAAGCATCGATCCCTCATTAAAAGCTAAGACTGGTATCTTATAATTTTTGTTTATAATTCTGTTTAGTTTGAAATCATCCATATTGATACTGTCACACTGAAGACTGACTGACTGACTGAGTTTAGGTTTTACGCCGCTTTTAGCAATATTCCAGCAACATCACGGCGGGGGACACCAGAAATGGGCTTCACACATTGTACCCATGTGGGGATTCGAACCCGGGTCTTAGGCATTACGAGCCAACGCTTTAACCACTAGGCTACCCCACCGCCCCGTCACAATGAAGACAGATACAGCGGACAATAAACAGAGTTTAGTTTTACGTTGTTTTTAGCAACATTCCAGCAATATCACGGTGGGGGACACCAGAAATGGGCTTCACACATTTACCCATGTGGAGAATCGAACCAGGGTCTTCAGCGTGACAAGCAATGCTTTAACCACTAGACTACCCCACCGTCCCCTGGCTTTAGAGGTAATTGAATTACACTCGCGTAACCTTGATTCGTGGATATAAGGGAAGTGCGGCGAAATTCACATTTTAAATGCATGATTTCATTTTGTATATGCACTGATTATTTTATTCATTGTATCAGCAAATTAAAAATGCCTAATATTCCACTCGTGAATGAAACCTTTGTTTACGGAAGTTATTTGCAATCATCACCCATTCGTGTGCCCACAAAATGTGACGTCACCTTGTTTCGTGGATTACGTAGTCGGTTACTTTATACCACTATGTACGACACCCCACTGCAGTAAGTATTGACACCAAGGAAAGCAGACAATGAGAAGTGAGAAGGGTGGAGCTAACGGTATCTTTTTTACTTGACATTTTGTAAAAATAAAATTTGGTAATGGTGGTATTAGTGACATGGGCTATTTATCTCAATGCTGGACAATTATATTTATTGTACTTGCGTGTAATGCAGAAATTCGGAACTTTTTTGTCAGCGAGGCGTGACATTGTATTTACATCAAAAGTACTGCTTCATGACGTCAGTCGATACTTAATTTACGAGCTAGCATGATAAATTCCGCGATCCACGAATCAAGGTTATCCACGAATTTAGGTTAGGGTTCCGTAATAGAAAAGAAGAAAGTAAGTTTTAAGCACTGCATTTATTACAGAGTAATACAAATGATTACCAATACATTTCATATCCTAATACCAAATCAGCACATCCGTGAGCACACCTGAATTCATTGTAAACCGGTGCCCAACCAACACATTTCATACCTTAATGTTTGTACTACATAACTTACCAACCTGAGTTGATTGTTAACCTGCACTCTTTTCATCAACACATTTTATACATCAATAACCTGGTAACTCCAAATTCAGGGCAGGAAACTGGAATGAGTTTGTCCTGCGCCCAGTACAGTGTGTTCACCTGAAGATACCTTGGGGGCAATGTGCCATTGAGCACCTCAGAATCTAATCCATTGTTCATCAGTCAAGAGTGTTTGAAGATGATTTTGTTATGCACCCTTGTTGTTTAACTTACGTATTACATACTAGGATCCACATGTCATGAAGAACCTCACACTTGTTCCACAATTACATACAGGGGGCAAAGTGTCATTCTGCACCCAATGGTTCAAGAGGGTACAAGTATTGTTGAAGGGGCCGTTGTCGGCACAGATACTACAGATGTGTACCCCGGATATGTTTCTGTACACAGAAATGTACCCTAAACAAAATCAAAATACAGAAATGTACCCAGTACCCTAAACAGTGGACTCATCCATATTCCGCAACCCAAAACCGAAACTGTATGCACTTATTCCCGTTCAACTGGTTGCGAGTGGTTGAGTGCATCATGAAATATTTGTTACTGTGCAAGCTCGTTTTATATAACAGAATCAAATGCACAAATACAACAGTATGACAGTTCCAATCAAGAAAACAGCACAAAGCCGAATGGACATGTCCTAGGGTACCTTTAGTGTTTTGATCTTGGCTAGGGTACGTTTCTGTATATAGGAAAGTACCTGGGGTACATATCTGTAGAATGTCTGTACTCTGGTCTGTGTTGAGAAATGTATCTGGGGTACATATCTGTAGTACCTGTGCCACCTGTTCAGAACAATTATTAGTATCAATATCACATCAAGACCAAGATAGCATTCAGACGTTGGCCCAACGTTGGCAATGGTTTTGCCAACATTGCCAGCGTCCGAACGCTACCTGGGAAGCCTTGTGGTGATTGTTGGGAGCAGAGTCATAAAGCAACTAATAGTTCATAGGGACACAAGGGTGGATACAGCTTTTTGAGAAAGGGGGTGGGGGAGGTGGGGGGTGCACACTATTGAGAGAAAGGAGAGGTGCACATTTCATTTTCACCTCAGTTTCAATGGTCATTTAACAAACTTTCAGCACAAAAGGTGGGGTGCGCACCCCTGCACCCCCCCTCTGGATCCGCCTATGGGACACAAGTGTTAGCATCAGTCCATCTGTTCCGTCATGACAGATCTATAAAAACAGCAGGTGCTAGCTCGCTGCACTTGAAGCACTTGTGTCCAGTTTTCTTTCAGTGTTCTTAGCGTTATGGTTGTCTGGTTTGTCTTTTTTGAGTTTTCTCTTCCTCTTCTGACCTGAGTTGCCAGCTGGGGGTCCTCCAGACTTCTGTTTTGTTCCTTTCTTCTCCTGAGGTCGATCCAACCAGGCTGCGTCATGGGACCCGGGAGCCTGGTAGCTGTAACATTAACAGTGAGTGAAAGCACCTTCTTCAGAGTACTTTCAGTTTTATTACAGTAGTTGCAAGTGGTTGACAGGAGTGAGTGAGTTTAGTTTTACGCCACACTCAGCAATATTCCAGCTATAAGGCGGCAGTCTGTAAATAATTGAGTCTGGACCAGACAATCCAGTGATCAACAGCATGAGCATCGCTCCACGCAATTGGGATGCGATTACATGTGTCAACCAAGACAGGGATCCTGACCACCCGATCCCGTTAGTCGCCTCTTACGACAAGCATGGGTTGCTGAAGATCAATTCTAACCCAGACCTTCACCGATGGTTGACAGGAGGAGATGCACAATGACTGGCTGCGAGTATATACTCCCCATGTACTACCCTGCACACAAGGTACCACTGGCGACTGGAGGAGTATGATGGATATGTCACTTGTGATCAGACTAGAGGGAATTAACCTTACTTCGTTTCACATATAATGTCCGATCCTTTACAATTCCACGAGAGGTAGGGTAGCCTAGTATTTACACCATTTGCTTGTCACGCCAAAGACCCAGGTTCAATTCCTTGTTTGTGCACAATGTGTGAAGCCCATTTCTGGTGTTCCCCACAGTGATATTGTTAAAAGCAGGTAAAATCTAACTCACTCACTCACTACAATCCCCCACGCCGTGATATTGCTGGAATATCGCTAAGAGTGGCATCAAACTTAACTCACTCACTCACTACAATTCCCCTTCCCTAGTACTGTACATAGTCCCTTACTCACCCTGGCTGGCTGGTATCAAGTGGCTCCTTGGAGAGAAGGATGGACACTGCCGGAATGTCTCGATTCACCTTCAACCTGGAACAACAGCACATCACACAATGAAGGCCACAGAAAGATGGCTTTGTTTCAGTACAACCCACCTTGAGTAACATCATCAACAAACGCTATTGTTGTTTGCTACACTCTGCAATATTCCATCTATATGAGTCTGGATGAAACAATCCAGTGATCAACATCATGAGCATAGTTCTACGCATTTAGGATACGATGACATGTGTCAACCAAGTCAGCGAGCCTGACCACCCGATCCCGTTAGTTGCCTCTTACAACAATCATGTATTGCTGAAGACCAGTTCAAGGGTTCATCAACAAAGGCCCAAAATGAGTGTACACAATTGTGATAAAATGCTTCCACTCATTACAGTACACATGAAGTTACAGCATGATCACGATCATGATTCATCAACATCAGATTCTCATTTCAAGTCAGGGTGACCTGCTGAACAATTTTGGCTTTCCATGCCAACTGTTTAATCATATTAAAATTATTTTTGTCTTGATTACTAGTTACTGTTATTAAATCTGAATGCATGCTACACATTCTACCAAAATACTTTCTGGGGTTGTTTATATCTGCCTTCAAACATTTCCCCATTTGAAGATTAAGAATTTGAAATTGAAATTAATAATTTGATGCTAGTGATTTGAATGGCATCCAATGGATCATTAAGATCTTAGGAAGTGAAAGAGTTGGAGTGGATGCCAGGATTGTTGGTGACCCACCATTGTCTGTCTCAGACATTCACACAAGTAAAACATGAAGAGTTCCCTTGGGGAATATACACTTACATATCTACATACTGTTTCCTCATGTGAATGAACTCATTGTTGTTTAACTCAGCAATATTCTCGGTCTGGACCAGACAATCTAGTGATCCACCGCATGATCATCAATATATGCAATTGGGATACGATGAATGAAACAGTCTAAGTAAACTTATAGTTTGGCATGAAATGCATGTGGACCCGTTTTTTTGTAAATATCTCTTCATCCTATGACCCAATTGATCTCAAACTGTGCAAGTGGATGTTTTGTCAGACAACCTAATCACATTGTAAATCACTGATTTTATGCATCTGTAAATCTTTCAATGTTTCATCACAAGGCATTGTCACTACACGATATGGTACTCTTGAAGACCTTCTCAGGTGCCCATCTGGTGCTACTAAAAAATATATTTAAAAAAGTGAAAAAAATATATATATCCGACCCACCTACCCAATTTTTGAAAAGCATGTAATATGAAACGGACACATATTTTGTTTGGGCCTAAACAAACTAATTTACAGGATCCTGGTCTATGGGAGTTAATGGTTGATGCATGTCATCATTTCCCATCCAATGGTCTGATGCTCAATATGTCAACCACGTTCCTTGGCAACCAGGATCTATTTCCAACTCACCTTTCCAAGCCTTCCATCTTTGGTTCCCAATATTCTTCTATCCTACAAATCAAAGACATCCAGAGTCAGATGAGTACACTGCACAAATAGTGTCTAAACATCTCAAACAATTTGGGATACATGAATATGAATTTTTTAAATACGGTCCACAAAATACGTATCACTAGTCTCTGGAAGACAGACTTGGATGACAACACAGAATCACTGACCTTCTGAATCTTATCTTGGTCATCTGATGCAAACCCTGAAAAGACAAAACACAACATCTGAACTCTGCAACATGGACCAGACAATCCAGTGATTAACATTACAACAATCCATTTTGTAGGGGTACATTGACCAACTATCAGCCAAGTCTAGGATAGAAAATGTTACATTAACAATACCTTACAAACATGTAGTCCTCCCTAAATGAGATACTAATAGTTAGTGTTGGGAATTGGAAACCAAATCCACTATCGATTATCGGAGGATTGTGGTGAATGATTATCGATTATAATCAAAATATATGTACATTTTTAATGAAATCACCCATTTGAAGGGTTTTTCCCCAGGTTTTTTCTAATAAATGTTCCTTATAACTAATACTGTTATGCAATGAAATGCATGCATGCAAGAAAGACACTGGAATTGTAATTAAACAATAAAAGTAGTTAAAATTTTACAATGCGCATAGCTTGTTGAGCGCATGTTTGTTCGTGAATATTTAATGGCTAGTTTACTTCATTCAAGTGTGTTAAACTAAAACAACAAATTCCAATTAATCGAAAATATGTTTTTTTACAATCGATAATCATATTTAATCCTTCTTTCAATTGATTTTCGATTTATTTTTGATCATCGGAACACCACTACTAATAGTATTGTCATATAAAACAAACACCCAGGCGTGAGTGTAAAAGTGGCATTACAAGTCAAAGGGTTATCTCCCTTGACCCATTGACAGATACCCAAGCAATATCTGCAGGCAAATCTTAAGGTAATTGGAGATGGACACCCCTAGAAGCTGAAGTGATGCATGGAAATTGTGATGCATACTGCAGTTATATGCTAGTGTATCATAAGAGTAAGAGGGCATTTCAGGGGTGGAAATAACCCACTGCCCGACGTCTGAGTCCAGTGTTTTTTTCTGTTGGGCAAGCAAATTTGTATATCACACTGTACAGGTGTCCAGTTGTCTTTCCAATGTTAATTATGTTGTTTATTTAAAAATCAACAAGAAAACAGCCGGTATAGTGGAAAAATTATCAGAGCAAGGGTGATTTTACATGTGCCACTGTACTGGAGTACACTAGCAATTTTAAAGTGATTTCCACCCCTGCATTTGAATGACAAACCTGAGTGGTGAAACCTTTATCTGTGATATACCATTCATAGCAAAAGGACATCAAAACTAGATGTCTTACTTAAAAGACACAACATCCAATAATTCAAAAGAACGTTTGGTCCAGAAATGTTTTCAAGTTGACAGAATGTTATGCATTAGCATTTCAAATCCCATTTGTTTGTACATGCCCAAAATCCTCAAATGATTCAATATTAAAGAAATTAATGTCATTGACAATGTTAAAACGAGAATCTATCCAAACTGTAGCGTGAATACTCTGAGGGTGTGGGTTGGAATCCCGGATGGGATGGGATTCAACCCAACAAAAGTACTAGAATCTGTACTTTACAAAGAAAGTGTCATCCCAGATATAACATGTAGTGGTTGGCGTCCTTTGCCCCACCCTGATATTTATTCTGCTATGTTTTCAGACACAGTGGAAGGCCAATAAAAAAATTAAAAATACTTATTTTATTCCACATTCATATATACATCTAAACGTTAATTAAGCACCACCCACTTTTTCAGAAAAGCTCAACATTCAAATCATGAAAAGTGCAATTTCCTGTCTGACTCAATGTAAAGAGGATTGATTGTGCTGAAGGGATGTCCTGCACTATCACTACAAAGAAAACGAAGCCGATGATTATCTTTGATACCAATTTATTGGAGTTATGCGAATAAGCGTCAAAACGACCATTTCATTAGGCCTGAAAAGTAACACTGTCCAGCCCATACTGGTATCTGCAATGTCAAACGTTCAACTTAAATATGCTTGTTGTCATCATGGCTATCTCTTGAAACTGTTTAGTCAGTATCGGGAGTATCCACCTCTAACACGAATCACATTTTCAAGACGCCTTCTCATGCTTGAAATGAGACGTCTGATTCTAAGCATCGGGATTCTCTGCCACTCCTCGTGAAGAGCCTGTTGCAGTTCATCCATATTCTGCAGAGGAGGATCTCTGGCTCTCACTTGGCGCCCAAGATAATCCCATAAATGCTCTATGGGATTAAGATCCGGGCTTCTGGCTGGCCATGGAATAGTGTCGATAGCATTGTTCCTCAAATGATCGACTACTGCTCTGGCACGATGAGGCCTGGCGTTATCATCCATGAACAGAGGACGACTGGCAAGTGTGTGATTGTCAAAATGGGGTATTACGGCAACATCCAAAATGTCACGTTGATAACGTTGTCCGTTTAACGTTCCCGGGAATGTGATTAGGTCCAGCTTGCAGTTGTAGGACACACAACCCCACACCATCACTGAGCCACCGCCAAAGGGGACCGTTGGTTCAATCATTTCCGGGTTATAAGCTTCATTGCGGCGGCGCCAGACACGGCTGCGGCCGCCAGTGACGCATGCAAAGGTAACGACTTTCGTCCGACCAGTGGACTCTGGCGCCAGTATCGGAGATTGTGGTTTTGCCTTAACCTGCACCACGCCAGGCGCTCTTGCATGTGTCTGTCAGTGAGAAATGGACGTCTGACTGGTCTACGTGCACGCAATCCTGCAGCTCTTAACCTCTTTCGGACGGTATTCGTGGACAGTCTGACGCCCACTCGCCATTGTCTCACGGAGGTCTTCAGCATGGGTCATTGGATTGCGTCTGGCTAAGCGAATTAAGGCCCTGTTGTCACGAGCACTAGTTTTTCTTGGACGTCCAGGTCTGGGTCGGTCTTTGACGTCTCCAGTTTGCACGTGCTTCGTACCAGTCGGCTAACAATGGTGTGATTGCGATTCAAATTGATACCAATTTGACGGCATGATAAACCGGTTTCATGCATGCCAATGATTCTCCATCGTAGGTTCTCGGATAGCCTACGTCTCGGCATGTTGTATTGGAACAGTACAATAAGATCTGTTGCTTCAACGTTCAAATTTCAGCCACCAAGTATCAAACAACAATACTGTGTTTTCAGTCGAAAGACCCCGTGCATGTGTATCGAGCACGTGCATCTTCGGTCTTGCGCAGTTTATGTCTGCGATACGTGTGATGCACGGGCAATACAGGCATATAGCATACTGTGAAATTTCATTATCCTTACTTGACACTAATTGATAATATTTACTTTTGAATTTGGTGGTGCTTAATTAACGTTTAGCTGTATAGATGGAATGGTAGATCTGTACACCTAGCAATGAAAACAAATGTCTGAGACTGTTTGCCTGACAGCATGCATTGTGGTAAAGAACACAAACTGACGTCTTTATCATGTAAGGCAATGTATGATGGAACATGCATACCTTGACCTTCCTCTTCATGATCTCAGCACAGGAGATGGTCTTGTTGACAGCATGGCCTGACCCGTTCCATGTAATCTGCTTAATGTCAGGCTCCTGTCATAACACACACAGATTACATTCTAAATGGCCCCAAATATCACCTACAGAGCCCCTCCTTCCCCCTTCATCCCCTTCTTCCCCCTATAAAAAGACCCCATTCAAACCCACACATCTCCCCATCCCCCCCCCAAAAAAGACAAAAAACCCAAAACAAAACAAAAAAACCAAACAAAAACCAAACAAACAACCAAAACCAAACAACCCCAAACAACAAAAAAACCAAAAAAAACAAACAAACAAAATCAACAACCATAAACCATAATCACATTTGTAACTATTTTTTTCAGTACTGACATGTTCACACAAGCTGATGTCAGTCACCCCACGCTGCTAAATGTGGCCATAGAGGAAACTACAGTGTTAACAAGACATGTTCATGACCAGTCATCCTCTTGATGGCAGATCCCTCAACTCAACTTCTGTCATGACACATTTCATCATGAACCGGGGCGGTGGAGTAGCCTAGTGGTAAAGCATTCCCTCGTCACGCTGAAGACCCGGGTTCGATTCCCCACATGGTTACAATGTGTGAAGCCCATTTCTGGTGTGACACGGTGTGACATTGCTGAAATATTGCTAAATGCGGCGTAAAACTAAACTCACTCATCCTGAACCAACATTTATCCTCCTGATACGATATCCCTGAATCCCATCTCGATCTTTGATAGCATAGCCCTCAACCTTCATCCTCTTCACAACATATCTATCTATATTATCTGCAAATACTTGATACTATTTCCCCTTGAACCAACCTTCATTCTTTTGATCGCGTATCCCATGATATTTCTGATCTTGCTGCCTGCACTGACTCTCATCTCCACCACGTTGTCATCGAGGGCGGAGAACGGAGAAGCCTCATCCACTTCCCTTGTCTCCCCCTTTACGTAGTTCTCCATCACTGTTGGCGTGCACGTGTCACACTCCAACCTGCACATCAGACGCTAAAACTGTTAATGCAGGTCTGTTGTTGGTTTCATTCAAAGATTTGGACAACGGGAGAGTACAGCATAAACCTCCATTAAATGATGGCATCCTCCAATACAACATTTTAAATTTGGGATTTCACTTTGAATCAAAATGAAATTCAAGTTTGAAAAGCTGGGTTTTTTTAGATGGTACACAGAAACATGAGCAGAGTACTTCTTGTTACCTGTACGTGGAATTTGATTGAAAGGCTATTTTCAGTGTCATGTCAATTGAACCAGATTGAAAATAAAGTTTTAGTGGGTTGTGAATAGGTTCTGGGTAGTTTTCACGATGGAATGTAGAGGATTATATGCCGTGCTTTATAATGTGTGTAATGCATGATTCTATTGATAACAACAGCATCACATCTCGAAGTATTTTATAACTGGGATTTCTACATTTAATGCCATAATTCAGGCTCTGCAGGGTATTGTATGCTATTTTTCTAAGGCGATTAGAGTTCTTCCCATATCCCCCCGCTTGAGATGTATTCTATTTATTAGGGTTATTTCGGCTGAATGGGTCGTTGTGGGCACAGACTGTACTACAGATATGTACCCCAGGTACGTTTCTGTATACAGAAACGTACCTTGGCCATAATGAGAATACAGACCGGAACTGTCATACTGTTGTATTAGATACATTTGATTGCGTTATGTAAGTAATGAGAATACACAGTAACGGATATTTCACGATGCATATGAATACCACTCGGAGTCAGTTGAACGGGAACAACTACATACGGTTTCGCTTTTGGATTGCGGAATATGGACTCGTCCGCCTTTTAGGGTACCGGGTACGTTTCTGTATTTCGACTTTGTTTAGGGTACATATCGGTATACAGAAAGGTACCTGGGGTACGTATCTGTAGTACCTGTGCCGACAACGACCCTTTCAGCGTTATTTCGGGGGTTTAGGGTTAGGTTTGTGGTTAGATTTTAGGGTTAGGGTTTAGGGTTAGGTATAGGCTGTTTATAAAAAATACATAGCCGTATATTCTTTGGCATATAATGATTAAAAACTATACGGGGGGTTACGGGCGGAAATCTTTCCCACAACCTACGTTAGTTCATAACTAGGGCTATCGAAAATAGGAGACACTGTAGAACGTTAGGCCCGTAAAAATATCTGTGACTGAGACATTCGTCTCAACAGATTATATAGAAAGAATGAAACTTCAAACAAACCATAAATAGGCAGATAATGCAGTACTTATTCTGTTAGCCTTGTTCTACTGTCAAAGCTTGGTGAAACACGGCCGAACCACCTGTGTGGCGACTGGGACCCGTCTCGTGCGCAATCTGTAATCGATCACAGAACCAGTTGATTCAAACCCTTCCTCTACCGGAATTTCCCGAGCCTTGGGCTTAATAACGGAAAATGACCCCTCTCGTTAACAAATATAAACCCCATAATTACGCCCAGGGTTTAAACTCAAGAAATGGTTATAACTAAAGAAGATGATTCTAAGGGCAGGGATAATCTACAACATACCAATACAACCAGAAATATTATTGAGGATTTAAGATTGTAATTTTTTTAAATTTTTTTCACTCATTACTCACGTATTAAATGTGAATATTAGCGGAGCATAACTCCAGATTCAAAGACAGGTAAACAGTTAGTATTTTGTCATGTCACCATGGGCAGCAAATTATTCTTCAATGCGGCGGGGCATACTACTGACCAAAGAAGTTAGAAAGTCGTGGTCCATGCTGTCCCAATATCGGACCACCTCTTCTTTCATTTCAGCAATATTTGTCAGATTTGTCTCTATTGACACTTTCCTTCATAAGTCCCCAAACATTTTCTATTGGATTAAGGTCAGGGCTATAGCTTGGCCAATCTAATAATGTCATATTTCGGGTCCGAAACCAGGCCTGTGAATGCTTTGAACGATGTTTTGGGTCGTTGTCCTGCTGGAAAATCCAAAAATTTCCATAGAACACGTGAAGAGATGGAAGTAAATGTCCCTCGAGAATATCTGTGTACCGCTCACTGTTCATATTCCCTTCAAATACACAGAGCAGCGTTGCCCCTAACACAAATATGCCACCCCACACGTTAAATTTCGAACTGTACTTTGGGCGCTGAAAGAAATTTCAGTGTATTAGGAAACAGCCACACAGAACTTTCATCTGGGAAAATCACATTGTCCCAGTTAAAATTCCTATGCTGTAAGCACCAGTTCAACCTTCGCTCCTTTTGTTCAGGTTTCATGATCGGTGATGGAATTCCTCGACTTTTCTGCAAACCCATTGCATGCAGCTCAGTTCTAATTGTCTCCTTACAGACAGCCACAGTTCCTCTATCAATCATATCCAGCCTTAAATTTTCTAAACTCCTTCGTTTGTTTTTAGAAACAAGAATACCAAGCCGCCTCCTGTCACCGACAGTCAAGTTTATGGGCCTACCTGCGCCTCCCTGGTGCTCAGTGCCATATCCATTTGCAATATGTTTCAAAACACGATAAACAGTGGACAAAGGGATGCCTGTTCTACTTGAAATCACTTTAGCTGATCTGATGTCCTTGTTATAATACTCTAAAATCAACTTCCTCTTCTCTAAATCATCCATACTGAGGATCACTGAAAATGTCGTCTGCTAGCAAGTAAACAAAGGGGGATAACTTTTCACAAACTAATGAAAAAGGATTAACGGAGTTGTCTCTCTTGAATGAAACCAAGCACTTGATTGCTCACTGTGATCTGTGAGAGCTCCTCAGGTCGTGTGACTGATGTTGTTCGTGTTGTAATGTGTGTGTAATGGATGTATGTATTTATTGTAATTCCAGCGTCCATAACGCAAGACAAATTCCCTTCTTGGGCAATAAAGTATTATTATTATTATTATTATTATGTTTTACAGATTAAAAATTGTATGCAGCAGAGAGGGTTCGGGTGATCCTGGCACAATTAAACATATTCCTAAAATTCTCAATAATTTCTGGTCATACTATATATAGTCTCCCTGCTAAGACACAGTAACATGGAATGAACTTTAATAATGATAGTATTATATTTTATTGCGACTGCGTTTGAGTTTGATTGTCTATTTGAGTATAGAGGTCCTGACCTCTCTTGGGACTCCGAAACGTTCTATGCACGTGAAAACCTCTAACTGTACTACAAACGTTATGCTGACGTTCGTCATGTACTTTTGCAAAGGGACGTCACTCTAAACAATAAAATCCGCAATCTTAATTTAGGCCCATGGGCTTAATCGCGGAAAAATATCCCGTTTTTAAGCCCATGAGCGTAATTTCGAATGGGCTTAAATACGGGAAATCCCGATACAGAGAGAGTTCTAAATAACGTGGAAAGTGGGCATATACAAACGATCCCATTACAAAAGATGAAGATGTAGATCGATTGTCCTAGAACCTTGAAAAATAGCAAGTACTTGGGTTATAGATAATGTCAACTTATTTCTTCATCTGTCGATTTATCTCATGGTGTCTTTTCAGCAGCGTTCTAAATTAACGTCGGTCCTTAGGCTCGAAGCCGACTGAAAACCACGGACCCACAACTTTTGTTTTCCTAATGGCCGACAGCTGTTTCATCCCCAATAACTAAGAGTATTATTTTTCAGAAAACATCATTCAGTAATCTCTAGTTTAAATTTCTCTTTAACCCGGCCAGTATGTTAGTTGTCACATTTTGTGTTTGCAGGGAATTACTTGTTGTAGCTAAAATATAGAGCCTACACATTCTGATCAGGGCACAACTTTTTATGGTTCTGGGTCCTAGGGCCTGCAGCTTTTCAGGGTTGAGGGCAATGCCACTGCTTTTCAGTCTGGTTGATGAACATGGGTGCTACCCTGAAGACTGGCTGACGTAGGGTCATACAGACCCTGAAACAAATATATCCCAAAAAGTCGTTGCAAGTCTAGAATATGTGGCAAGTCTAGATTTACAGTTTCTGAAAATGAGGAAAGTCTCTGGGCTCGTTTTCATTATATTGTAGGGTTATAGTTTCGGAACAGTTTTTTTTCTGTAAAATAAGTTCATTTCACTGAGTAGATGTTAGTTTAATTGACTGGCATATAATGCAACCTATATATGTACAAAAACAAAGGCGATCCAAGCGAACCAGGAAATTATACACCAACAGCTTCTTTCCTGTCTTGGTAAACTATTTACATTTAGAGTAAACGCCTTACACAAATTACAGAATGTTGGCGTATTGCGCCTGATCGAATATATAGCGTTTATTCGACAGAGGCGTTTTTATGTATAGTTTCTATTATTTTATATATATTTGTTTTGCAGTATTGTTTAAAATATCTCTTAACGATGTCTCGTTGATTGTATTGTTTGACAGATTTTTAACCCAGTAATTAACGCAGTGTCCGCTTACGTGGTGCCCAGTGAAAGTACTGAAAGTGTATATTACTGGTCAGGATTTCTTCTTTCTAGTTAAACGTCTCTTGACGTTCAAATGAGTGTACTTAGCACATGTACCCTAGAACAGCTAAACTGATGCCATTTGTAATTTAGGAACTTAAAACTTTCAGTTTTTGCTTTTCCGTGGCATGATTGTCAACAGCTGCCCAGTGCCAAACGTATTTCAGCAACTTTCTGTATTCATGTGTATTTATTAGTTTATCGTAGTAGGTTGAATGACTTGCGCCAGGCTTATTCAGGAAGTGTATCCTTTATGGCTCCGGGGGTAGCATGAGGGTAATTCGTGTCAATAAATGGAAAGAAATCGGTGGCAACCCTGAGGACCAACATAGAACCGTCAACAGCTTCTCTGAGGGCCAACATAGAACCGTCAACAGCTTCTCCGAGGGCCAACATAGAACCGTCAACAACTTCTCCGAGGGCCAACATAGAGCCGTCAACAGCTTCCCTGAGGACCAACACAGAACCGTCAACAGCTTCTGTGAGGGCCAACATAGAACCGTCAACAGCTTCCCTGAGGACCAACACAGAACCGTCAATAGCTTCCCTGAGGACCAACATAGAACCGTCAATAGCTTCTTTGAGGGCCAACATAGAACCGTCAACAACTTCTCTGAGGACCAACATAGAACCGTCAACAGCTTCCCCGAGGACCAACATTAAACCGTCAATAGCTTCTCTGAGGACCAACATAGAAATGTGAACAACTTCTTTGAGGGCTAACATAGAACCGTCAACAACTTCTCTGAGGACCAACATAGAACCGTCAACAGCTTCCCTGAGGACCAACATTGAACCGTCAATAGCTTCTCTGAGGACCAACATAGAACCGTCAATAGCTTCCCTGAGGGCCAACATAGAACCGTCAACAGCCTTTCTGAGGGCCAACATAGAACCGTCAATAGCTTCTCTGAGGGCCAACATAGAACCGTCAACAGCTTCTGTGAGGGCCAACATAGAACCGTCAACAGCTTTTCTGAAGACCAACATAGAACCGTCAACAGCTTCTGTGAGGGCCAACATAGAACCGTCAACAGCTTCCCTGAGGACCAACACAGAACCGTCAATAGCTTCCCTGAGGACCAACATAGAACCGTCAATAGCTTCTTTGAGGGCCAACATAGAGCCGTCAACAACTTCTCTGAGGACCAACATAGAACCGTCAACAGCTTCCCTGAGGACCAACATTAAACCGTCAATAGCTTCTCTGAGGACCAACATAGAAATGTGAACAACTTCTTTGAGGGCCAACATAGAACCGTCAACAACTTCTCTGAGGACCAACATAGAACCGTCAACAGCTTCCCTGAGGACCAACATTGAACCGTCAATAGCTTCTCTGAGGACCAACATAGAACCGTCAATAGCTTCCCTGAGGGCCAACATAGAACCGTCAACAGCTTCTCTGAGGGCCAACATAGAACCGTCAATAGCTTCTCTGAGGGCCAATATAGAACCGTCAATAGCTTCCCTGAGGGCCAACATAGAACCGTCAACAACTTCTCTGAAGGACAAATGGCAACCGATTCGCCCCGACACGATCATGAGACGTGGAGTACCGACATGCGTTGAATCAGATGTTGATGGGCGGTTGGGTAGCCCAATGGTTAAAGAGTTCGCTCGTCACGCCGAAGACCCGGGTCCGATTCCCCTCGTGGGTACAATGTGTGAAGCCATTTCTGGTGACCCGCGCCGCGATATTGCTGAAATATTGCTAAAAGCGGCGTAAAACCCAACTCACTCACTTACATGTTGATCATATTAGTTATTGAGAATTTCTGTTGTATGTGAATCAATTCAAACTGATGATAATACGTGTTTCACTCATTACCGCCTACTGTGAAATCGTGACCATGTTCCTTGAGATGTGCACGCCACCTGTTGCGAGATACATTGATATGATGCATGTACACTCTCCAGTGGCAGGCTATACATCATCCTTAATTCCTATTTGTTGCCTTTTTAGACACTATCAAACATGGGTGCATACGTTTTGTCTGTCTTATCTATAAACACGTTTACCTTATGTTTGGTCGAACCAACGGAGTCATTATTACACGTTTAGAACACCAAACGTTTATATTCTGGTATTTTGTTCTTTAATACCATTTAAATAGTATCTTTAAAATCATCACCACATAAAGCATAGTGAGGGGGCGGGGATTGTTGGGTACATTCTTTCCTCTGATATTTAAAAACAAGAACCTCACCATACACGCAACACATCTAAATGATAGTAAGAATGAACTGAAATGAAAACTGGGGTGCCAGAATCCGATGATAATAGGATCGAATCCCATATTCGTCTCGGGAATAGGTCTTGGTCTGTCATCACAATATAATTTCGTGCTTTCAAGTTTACACAGATTCCCGAACGTTGGTTGGTTTGAGAGCGGTCATGTGATCTAAATTTCAAGGTTCATTACTCTTGAACCCTCTAATCGTTCATACTTGTGTAAACACCGTTCATACGTGTGTGAACGTTTTCGCTTCGGTTTCAAGGACCCCCAATAATTGGTGATACCAATTTCGCGAACGAACCTGTTTCAAGTCACCCCAAGTTTGGCAATGTCACTACCAAACGGATTGCCGAACATTGTTCCTTTTCACAGGAGTTTAATGTCTCGCAGTTTGCGGGTTCATCCGGCGGTTTTCTGCCCCGAGGTCTGTTTAACAACTGCTCAATAAATTTCACAATAAACAATCACAAATAAATAGAATACAACAAGATCTGTTTCCTATTCGCCACGCCGCACAACTTCGAAGTCGGTCAGTGTATTATTACGCGGTCAAACAAGGTATTTACAAGTGAAAGGTACAATGCCAGTTTGTTAAAATGGTATTGTTATTGCTTCTGATATTTGTTTCTGTTTGATACTGTTATTGATTATACTTATTGAAGCAGTTTCAAACCTCATAACGAATTTGTTGTTATATTTTAAAGATCGAATACTTTGAGAACTATTTCTTCAAGGGTTGGGATACATGTGTATAAAGAAATCGCTGTGTATACAAACATCGCTGCAATACGTACGTTCTTGAACCGAATGGCATTACAACATTTTACAGGTATTAAAACACACTAAACAATGATCATCTACAAGTGGGTGGAAAACGTATGTGTAAACTTCAAAGTGCGAAATTATAAGAATTGAATGTCAGTTTGTGTGTTTGCACTGAAAAATGAACGATGTCAAAGCGTTGTTCAAACTCTCGCGTGAACTCGCTCGTAAACTCGCTCGTTCACGAGTTTGAACACCGCTTTGACATCGTTCATTTTCAGTGCAAACACACAAACTGACATTCAATTCTTAAATTGGCACTTTCTTCAATAAGTTCGACCTGTGGTGATCCATGTTAGAATTGGCTTCACTAACCTATGCTTGTCGTAAGAGGCGACTAACGAGATCGGCTGGTCATGCTGTTGATCACTCGGTTGTCTGGTCCAGACTCGATTATTCACAGACCGCCACAATGTAGCTGGAATTTTGCTCATTGCGGCGTCAAACAAACAACTGAGATCAAGTTGACATGCCCCGATAGCGACCGTTTATAAGTTATGGCTAGGGGGTGGGTGATGATGATTTTTATGGAGAAGCATGTACAATGTGAATGACCCCCCCCCAAAAAAAAAAAAAATTTATGTTCAAAATAAGTGGCCCCTGCATGTCATGTACAAAATCAATGACCCCCCCCATAATTTCTAAGCATAATTTTAAACATATTTTTATGAACAAAATTGATGACCCCCCTAGTACGTGTGTACAAAATTGATGACCCCCCTAGCTAGCCAGAACAAAATGGGTGACCCCCCCTTAAAATCATCATATATCTCTCTCACACACACACACACACGCACGCACGCACGCACGCACGCACACACACACAGCCATAAATTATGAACGGTCCCTAACTTCTTAGCAGTAATGGTTTCCTGTAACTGTGGTACCATACTGAGCTGATGTGGTGTGTGTATACATTGGCCAGTGACATCTTTCGTAGCAGTCTGAATATCGATCAATAATATTTTAAATATTTAATATACTTTAGAAAGAAGTGGTTGCGCTACAACCCGTGCTGATCCGGGTTAGAATTGATCTTCAGGAACCCATGCTTGTCATAAGAGGCGACTTACGGGATCGGGTGGTCAGGCTCGCTGACTTGGTTGACACATGTCATCGTATCCCAATTGCATAGATCGATGCTCATGCTGTTGATCACTGGATTGTCTGGTGACCCAATTATTTACCGACTGGTGTCATATAGCTGGAATATTGCTGTGCTGCGTTAAACAACAAACAAAACAACAAGTAGTTGCGCTAGACTCATATAGACACCATGGGGATTCTGTGACGGGATTGCTTCCCATCAACTAATGCTTGTATACCACGCAGCCATGGATCAGGTGGTCAGGCAGGGGATTTGGTTGATGACGTGTCATTCTATCCAGATCTTTGCTCATGCAGTCAACCACTGGCTTCCCTGGTACAAATTCATTAATGTACAGGATGATTTCATATAGCTGGGATATTACTGAACAACACTCTCGCAGACCTCTGAATATTCAGTGGTTTAGAGTATCGACCAGCATCCACGGACAGAGGAATATTTCTAAAATAAAAAACCCACCCTTACCCACCATAGAAATAATTGTAGACATCTGTAGACATGTAAACACACGTTCTATTCAGCGAGTGATATTAAAAATTTTTACCCTGCGTTCAGCAATATTCCAGCAATATCACCGCGGGGGACAGCAGAAATGGGCTTCACACACTGTACCCATGTGGGGGATGGAACCCGGCCTTCTGCATGACGAGTGCACGCTTTAACCACCAGGCTATCTCACCGTCCCTGTGTTCTGTTTAGAAAATGTTACTTACCATGCCTAAGACATCAAGAACCATCCTCCTTGGCATTACATTTCGGTCATGCAAGAGTAAGCGGTGTCCCATGGACGTTTGATAACTGAGCAGCTGGGACATTTACTCCAGACAGGACGTGATAGTCATGGGTTCGAATCCTAGGCATGGCCTTGATTTTCACAAGTGTTCTGTCATAACTTTACAACCCTCGTGGGTTTCATCTAAATGGTTATCGCCCGACCTGCGACACTACTGTTATATTATGTTCATTCATTAAACTCAGATCTCTCTTGACACCGGACCCGAAGATCCCGGTTAGAATTTGTCTTCAGCAACGATCACGTCCCTTGTGACATTGGTGTGTGTGAGTGAATATGGCTTCTAGCAATATTCCAGCAACATCACGGCGGGGGACAGCAGAAATGGGCTTCAGACATTCTACCCATGTGGAGAACTGAATCTGGGTCTTTGGCTGGAGGAACGCTTTAACCTATTAGGCTAACCCACCGACACTGGAACCATCGTATCCTAACAACAACCTTATACAACAAACTTGGAGTACTGGGAGCAATTGTACAAAGCAACTCATCTGTGATAAGTCTGTGTTAAGGTATGGGAGTTATGATCACCTTAGGGCTGAGATCACTCTGTACAACTACACCCTCAGCACTTTCTATTCTTGAATTAACACGGAATGGGCAAGAACCTCTTTTGTAGAAAGTGGTCAGGAGAACTAAAAGAACCCAAGCTTGCATTTCATGAAAATATTTATTTCTGTACAGGTCCACTCTGGACTCGAAATATTTTCACAGCAAATCTTTCGCAGACACAATGCAGACATAACTGTTATATGTCTGTGACACAACATGGATCACAAATACATTCTTGTATTACATTGCTGTACAAATTCCTCCGACAAACTCTCCACCAATGAAAGCTATGTGTACTGTCCTCCTACAGACAATGCCGGACTGCCTGAATATTGATGCATCAAGAAGTTGGTTGCTGGCATGCACACACCCTCTTTCATTTTCACAGATCGAGTGTGTCAGCCAATATGGTTTTGTTCACTTCCTGACTTGGGTCAGTGTGGACACCTATGTCAAAATCCTGGATCTGCCTGAAGCTGGAACAACTCTGTCATCCTGGTCAATGTGCTGGCTATCCTGGGTGTGATGGGCTAGGTCATCTCCTGAACCTCTTGAAGAGTGGATGTAGGGCTGCAGACTTCATGCTGCCGCCGCCTCTCTTGTACTCCATGTACACCGAGTCGTCTGCTCCTGACATGGAACTCATACTGCCAGCCTTGCGGAACACCTGAAGACAGGAAGTGAGCTGGTGAGTGATGTTACCATGTTACCATTAGCAACAGTCATATGTGATGGGCCATCAAGAATAGCCTTCACATGGCACTAAAGTGAGGTGATAAAGTCTTCCACACCACCAGCAGTCTACACAGGTCTACCCTGCCAACAGTCTTATTCCCAGTCTGTAACAATGCTGTTTATCCCCGGTCTACCCTCCTCCCCACTGGTTTTTACTCTGGGTCTACCCTGCCACTGGTCTTCCCCTTCCACACCTCCAAACAGTCTTACGCCCAGTCTAACCCCATCCCTACCCCACCAAACAGTCTTACCCTAGTCTAACCCCACCCCTACCCCACCAAACAGTCTTACCCAAGTCTAACCCCACCCCTACCCCACCAAACAGTCTAACCCCACCTCTACCCCACCAAACAGTCTTACCCCAGTCTAACCCCACCCCTACACCACCAAACAGTCTTACCCAAGTCTAACCCCACCAAACAGTCTAACCCCACCCCTACCCCACCAAACAGTCTTTACCCTAGTCTAACCCCACCCTACCCCACCAAACAGTCTAACCCCCACCTCTACCCCACCAAACAGTCTTACCCCACCAAACAGTCTTACCCCACCAAACAGTCTTACCCCCAAATAAGGACAAACTTTATGGATGAACAACTTCTACATTCAGGTGGTGCGACGTTCCGATACATATTCTTGTATTGTTGTTAAGCAGGTGTTACCCTCAGCCTACCCCCCTCTCCATGAAACAGTCCCACCCCTGGTCTAATCTCTCCACTGTTCTTACTCTGGGTCTACCCTATCACCAGTCTTCCCCTGCCACCCTACCAAACAGTCTTACACCCAGCCTATCCCCCTCTCCATCACCGGTTTACCCTGCTCTCCACACTCACTCTTACTCTGGGTCTACCCTATCACCAGTCTTCCCCTGTCACCCTACCAAACAGTCTTACACCCAGCCTATCCCCCTCTCCATCACCGGTTTACCCTGCTCTCCACACTCACTCTTACTCTGGGTCTACCCTATCACCAGTCTTCACCTCCCACCACACCAAACAGTCTTACCCCCCCTTCCACCAAACAGTATTACCCCCAGTCTGCCTCACTCCCCACCATTCTTACCCCTGGTCTGCCACCGTCTGGGCCTCCCTCCTCCTCTGCGTCCTGGTCTGTGGCAGCCAGCACCTTCTGCAACAGACTCATCTGCTGCTCCTTGGTGTTGTAGGCCAGCTCCTCCTGTGCAACATACAACAGCTTATCTTGGAAATGATTCTTAACCACTTCTCATCATTGTGTCAATATAATTACACAAGAGACATTAATCTATGGAAATCAATAATTTTACATCTTGTAATGTAAATATTTGGTTTAAATTTTTTAATTTCATGAATTGTCCTGATATTAATGGAAGCATGGTGTATTGTTGTCTAAATGTGGCATCAGTTGGCAATTTGTATTATCTTCTGTCTATTAAAAAAAACACTAAGCACAATCAACTAGGTTGCAAATGTATTTGAAATGTTTACTATTCAAACTAGGGACAACTTAGAAACATAACTCTTAACACCAGATATAGTCTTCACACAATGTATTCTTATGGAGAATCCAACCCAGGGCTTCAGCATGAACAGTGATGGCTTTAACCACTAGACTACCCCACCGCCCAACCAAGAAGAGAATCAAACCCAGGGCTTCAGCATGATCAGTGATGGCTTTAACCACTAGACTACCCAAGAAGAGAACCGCTTCCAACCAAGAGGAGAATCAAACCCAGGGCTTCAGCATGATCAGTGATGGCTTTAACCACTAGACTACCCCACCGCCCAACCAAGAAGAGAATCAAACCCAGGGCTTCAGCATGATCAGTGATGGCTTTAACCACTAGACTACCCCACCGCCCAACCAAGAAGAGAATCAAACCCAGGGCTTCAGCATAATCAGTGATGGCTTTAACCACTAGACTACCCCACCGCCCAACCAAGAAGAGAATCAAACCCAGGGCTTCAGCATGATCAGTGATGGCTTTAACCACTAGACTACCCCAGCACCCAACCAAGAGGAGAATCCAACCCAGGGCTTCAGCATGATCAGTGATGGCTTTAACCACTAGACTACCCCACCGCCCAACCAAGAAGAGAATCAAACCCAGGGCTTCAGCATGATCAGTGATGGCTTTAACCACTAGACTACCCCCCCATCAGTGATGGCTTTAACCACTAGACTACACCCCAACCAAGAAGAGAATCAAACCCAGGGCTTCAGCATGATCAGTGATGGCTTTAACCACTAGACTACCCCATGGCTTTAACCAACCAAGAAGAGAATCAAACCCAGGGCTTCAGCATGATCAGTGATGGCTTTAACCACTAGACTACCCCAGGGCTTCAGCATGATCAGTGATGGCTTTAACCACTAGACTACCCCACCGCCCAACCAAGAAGAGAATCAAACCCAGGGCTTCAGCATGATCAGTGATGGCTTTAACCACTAGACTACCCCACCGCCCAACCAAGAAGAGAATCAAACCCAGGGCTTCAGCATGATCAGTGATGGCTTTAACCACTAGACTACCCCAGCACCCAAGCAAGTGATGGGAGAATCAAACCCAGAAGAGAATCAAACCCAGGGCTTCAGCATGATCAGTGATGGCTTTAACCACTAGACTACCCCAGCACCCAACCAAGAGGAGAATCAAAACCAGGGCATCAGCATCAGTGATGGCTTTAACCACTAGGCTACCCCAGCACCCAACCAAGAAGAGAATCAAAACCAGGGCATCAGCATGATGAGTGACTGCTTCAAGCACTAGGCTACCAGCCCCAGACAATGGAGAGAGGAGTCTGACTGACCTGGTCCATGCCGGCCAGCTTGGTGATGACCTTGTAGCTGTATCCCTGGTTGACGAGGAAACGCTGACGTTTGAGGGAGTACTGCATCTCCATGGTGTCCTGCGACACCAGGGTGTAGAAGAAGGCGTTGTACGTCTCCGCTGCTGAACCTGTGACACAATACATAGTGTAGGGGAGTTATGTTATGGTTGAATGGGTCCATGCATAATCCAGCCAAAATGGTGGAACGAAATCAATCTCTAAACAGCCCTGCAGATTTAGGCTGATTACAGGATTGCAAAGCATGCAAGGCATATGTACTATTATCTAGGTGTTGACAGATATTTCCCACTTGTTTTCATACTTCCAACCTACGCCCCATGTGGCCAAATAATCATGACATTTTCCAACAGATTAAACTGTTTCAAATCTGTAAGAGTGAGAGTGAACGGTATTTCAGTTGTACTATTGTGTCTGTCAAAAGGATGGTCTCACACAATAGCAAGGAGCGGACAAACCTAGAAATATCATTATCAATGAAAACGTTTACTTCTAAAGTGTAGAATTATGAAATATGGAAAACTATCAAACAAATATAAAATAAACTTGTAACCTTTCTTTGCCCTCAGAATTCTGCCCATTCTCTGAGCTTCTTGTCTTCGGGATCCTCCATGTGCAGATATCTGGATGAGGACGTTCGCCTCTGGCAGATCAAATGAAGTGTCTGCAACCTGAACACAGAGCTCAAGATAATTAAGTTGCATATTTGTGTAAACAAATAAGATCAGTTTACCTTTTCAATTTGAGGATGACTGCACAGGAAAGGAAATCTTTAAAAATTTCCCACAAGACCACAGGACCAGTGAGTGGACAATAATTAGTGAGTGAACAATAATTAGTGGTCCTGTCTGTACTTCACTGGTCCAAAATAACATTCATAGATTTACTTAACTATCAATACAAAATTCGACGGCCATCAGGACCACTGCAAACTTATCATTTAGTGGTCCTGATGAATTTGTACTAGCCAGGGACCATAGGACAGCGTAAATTTCGCACACTGCTGCATAGAAATCTTTACATATGTCTGTTTATTGATCTAATGCAGTCACACGTGTCTTACTCAGAAAGAGTTAAAGACACTTGATGTTTGCACATCACTATAGTTAATCATGCCGTGACACATTAACAAAGGTAATATGATAGGTGACTTGTAAGTGTATGCAACATGTCATACCCTTGAGGTTGCACATGAATAAATGTGCTTTAAATGTTACCTTGAGAAGTATAGCAGTTCTATCAGATTTGATAGAAAAGCTTAGTGACATATACCTTGTGGATGGATACAGCGCTTCATAAATACTCATTATCATTATTATATGCTGACCTGTACCACATTGGTGAATCACGGGGATGGGGTAAATCACCGATTTTAACTCATGATATAAGAAGCCTGGAAGGCGAGAGAATGCAATTTCCAGATTCTACAATTTGGACATTCATATCCCCAGATAATTCCTTCAATGTATGTACATGAAACATAACACTGCTAAAATGTATACCTTTGACACAAAGATTGTGTTGACTTTTGGGTTATGCACGAAGTTCTGGAGAATCTGCAGTCTCTCTCCCTGGCTGGTTGGCCCGTATAGGTAGGGTCTGTAACAGTCAGAGTCAGCTTTAAGGAATAGACAGTTTTCACTCAGTGTGTCTGACTTGAGATCAAACCATTTCATTCTATCATGGTCAACCTATCCCTTTATAAACCTTTCTGAAATAGGATGAAAAGATGTCTGTAACCTTTAGGTATCTGATGGTCTTGACTGTCGAAGTACTGAATACAGATTTCTTTACGTGAAAAATTCCAAACTTGATGAAATAATTGTTCAAACAGCACTAAATGACCAGCATCATGATGATAAATTCTTCTTTCTATTTTTTCAATGCCTGATGTCATCCATGAAATAATATATTTCTTTAACAAAATATACACTCTGACGTAGGATGTACAGACTTTCAAAGTTCCAGTAAACAAAAGAAGAAAGGAAACGATTTTACATTTCACAAAAACTACTTACTTATTAAGTTTGATAGCGTAATGTTTGAGAGAAAACACATTGTCAGCAAACACGATGATCTTGTCGTTCCTCCTCTCGTGGTATCGGATGAGGAACTGACAGGCACGGAACTTGTTGGGATTCATGCAGTACAGCAGCTGGAGGAGACAGAAGTATATGACGGTAATTCCCTATTGTATGTCCTAGTGAGTTATCTCAACTTGCACAATGAATCAATTGCCAATCCATTTAATGTACACATCACTTCATATAGATGAAACCTTTCAGGGCCATTTTTATTTTTTTTTTTTTGTTTCTTGTAATTTCATCAACAGATGGTGGAGGTGAAATAATTGGGCCTCACAGAACAAGGAGTAAGAAAAATAATTTGTTTAACACTGCATTAGGCAATATTCCAGCTATATCACAAAAGGTGTACACAAGAAGTGCACATTCATAGAATCAAGTACCAGTTTCTTCATAGACTTCATCTGTAGATATTCCCTGTAGAATTCTGGGGCCATTGGGCACCACACCTGAAGAAAACATGGCACAATAACTCACATGACAAAACGGCAAATGATGCTTCTCAAGGCACTGAAGGTTTATAGTCAGTTAACTCCCTTGTCTCGGGAAGATGGCACAAGGTGCACATATTCCATATTCCTGTATCAGCATTATTTCAACACACTGTACAAGGTAATATAGCCTTACTTCAGCACACGGTACAAGGTAATATAGCCTTACTTCAGCACACTGTACAAGGTAATATAGCCTTACTTCAGCACACTGTACAAGGTAATATAGCCTTACTTCAGCACACTGTACAAGGTAATATAGCCTTACTTCACCACACTGTACAAGGTAATATAGCCTTACTTCAGCACACGGTACAAGGTAATATAGCCTTACTTCAGCACACTGTACAAGGTAATATAGCCTTACTTCAGCACACGGTACAAGGTAATATAGCCTTACTTCAGCACACGGTACAATGTAATATAGACTTACTTCAGCACACTGTACAAGGTAATATAGCTTTAATTCAGCACCACGGTACAAGGTAATGCAGCGTTACTTCCAGCACACGGTACAAGGTAATATAGCCTTACTTCAGCACACTGTACAAGGTAATATAGCCTTACTTCAGCACACTGTACAAGGTAATATAGACTTACTTCAGCACACTGTACAAGGTAATATAGCCTTACTTCAGCACACTGTACAAGGTAACATAGCCTTACTTCAGCACACGGTACAAGGTAATATAGCCTTACTTCAGCACACTGTACAAGGTAATATAGCCTTACTTCACCACACTGTACAAGGTAATATAGCCTTACTTCAGCAATATACTGTACAAGGTAATATAGCCTTACTTCACCACACTGTACAAGGTAATATAGCCTTACTTCAGCACACGGTACAAGGTAATATAGCCTTACTTCAGCACTGCGGTACAAAAGTAATAGCCGCTTGTTTCCAGCACAGCGTTACTTCAGCACCACGGTACAAGGTAATATAGCCTTACTTCAGCACACGGTACAATGTAATATAGACTTACTTCCAGCACACTGTACAAAGGTAATATAGCTTACTTTAATTCACACGGTACAAGGTAATATAGACTTACTTCAGCACACTGTACAAGGTAATATAGCCTTACTTCAGCACACTGTACAAGGTAATATAGCCTTACTTCAGCACACTGTACAAGGTAATATAGCCTTACTTCAGCACACTGTACAAGGTAATATAGCCTTAGTTCAGCACACTGTACAAGGTAATATAGACTTACTTCAGCACACTGTACAAGGTAATATAGCCTTACTTCAGCACACGGTACAAGGTAACTTAGCCTTACTTCAGCACACTGTAAGGTAATATAGCCTTACTTCACCACACTGTACAAGGTAATATAGCTTTAATTCAGCACACTGTAAGGGACCCTAGCCTTAATTCAGCACACGGTACAAGGTAATAAAGCCTTACTTCAGCACACTGTACAAGGTAATATAGCCTTACTTCAGCACACTGTACAAGGTAATATAGCTTTAATTCAGCACACTGTACAAGGTAATATAGACTTACTTCAGCACACTGTACAAGGTAATATAGCCTTACTTCAGCACACTGTACAAGGTAATATAGCCTTACTTCAGCACACTGTACAAGGTAATATAGACTTACTTGAGCACACTGTACAAGGTAATATAGCGTTACTTCAGCACACTGTACAAGGTAATATAGCCTTACTTCAGCACACGGTACAAGGTAATAAAGCCTTACTTCAGCACACTGTACAAGGTAATATAGCCTTACTTCAGCACACTGTACAAGGTAATATAGCTTTAATTCAGCACACTGTACAAGGTAATATAGCCTTACTTCAGCACACTGTACAAGGTAATATAGCCTTACTTCAGCACACGGTACAAGGTAATATAGACTTACTTCAGCACACTGTACAAGGTAATATAGCCTTACTTCAGCACACTGTACAAGGTAATATAGCTTTAATTCAGCACACGGTACAAGGTAATATAGACTTACTTCAGCACACTGTACAAGGTAATATAGCGCATTTCACCACACTGTACAAGGTAATATAGCCTTACTTCAGCACACGCGGTACAAGGTAATAAAGCCTTACTTCAGCACACTGTACAAGGTAATATAGCCTTACTTCAGCATTCAGCACTGTACAAGGTAATATAGCTTTAATTCAGCACACGGTACAAGGTAATATAGCCTTACTTCAGCACACTGTACAAGGTAATATAGCCTTACTTCAGCACACTGTAAGGTAATATAGCCTTACTTCAGCACACTGTACAAGGTAATATAGACTTACTTCAGCACACTGTACAAGGTAACTTAGCCTTACTTCAGCACACTGTAAGGTAATATAGCCTTACTTCAGCACACGGTACAAGGTAATATAGCCTTACTTCAGCACACTGTACAAGGTAATATAGCCTTACTTCAGCACACTGTACAAGGTAATATAGCCTTACTTCAGCACACTGTACAAGGTAATATAGCCTTACTTCAGCACACTGTACAAGGTAATATAGCTTTACTTCAGCACACTGTACAATGTAATAGGGCCTTACTTCAGCACACTGTACACGGGCAATATAGCCAGCATTCTGCAGTTCCATCCAGTTAGCCTCATACAGCTTGGGGCCAATAAGGAAGTTCAGGTCAGCAATCTTGTCATCCTCACGGACCAGTGTGGCGGTCAGTCCCAGTTTGCAGTGGGCGTTGACAATAGTCAGTACCCGTCGGAACATCTTTGCTGGAATTGTCTGTACCTCTGTTTCAAAACAAACACGAGAAGCTTATCAAAGAAAATAACTGATTAAATAACGGGGAATAATTCAGAAGAGTGAGGTAGTCTGTATGGTTACCTGGATGATGGCAGGATCATACACATCTATTTTCATAATAATGAACACATTACTTCCATTGTGGGATTCAATTTAACAAGTGAGAGTATTTCATTTGAATAAGTTTTGTAACCACAGCTCTCCCTTTGGTAATTTGTAATTGTACATTACAGTGGAAGCTGTCTAAACCGTCACTTGTTGGGACTAAAGAAATAATCCGGTTTACACAGCGTGCCGGATTGTACAGATGACACGGTTACCTCCGACTAGAAGTGAACAAGTTTTGTCACTCTCATAGACATTGTTGTATCACAATAAAACATGTCAACTCACCAGTTACATGTACAAGTATACCTATGCTGAACTAAGATTAAAATGTCTTTGTCGGCAAACCATGTAGTTTCAACGCAAGATTAATTGGTCACAATACACATCCAGCCGACTCCTTGCCACGCGTGCCGGATTAGACAGCGCTGATTACAGTATAAACCCATATTCAGGTGGCTCATTTCATGCCGAGAGGAATTGACAGCTGCCGGATTGCAGAGCTTTTAAATGATGATACATGCACTAGCCATGGACGGGACTAAGATTTTATGGCGGTGTAGACAACTTGCCAGATTGGCCAACTGCCGGTTTTGACAGCTTCCACTGTATTTCAAAATGCATGATATAAATTGAGAATAACTATTAGTTTCTGTAGTGATGCAGTGTTTGTAACCTTTCCTCGACCAATCAGAGCAGCGTTTCACAAAGCAATTATAGTGCTACCGGGAATTCCCGTATTTATGAAAGTTTTTTCCAAATATTGTGCATTTTTTAATTTAAGCCCTGGGCTTAAATCTGGTTAAAATATTTCATCACTAGAACAGTGATTTTCTGTATTGCCCAGGCTTAAATACGAGAAATCCCGGTAGCGCTATGATCACTTTGAGAAACGGGGCCCAGAGTCTAGTATTTGCAAAATTCATGGTCAAATTTTACTGATTGTCACAATCACAATTAAATCAATCCAGTTTTATCATAGCACCTGCAAATATAACCAAGTGTGGCTCAACAAAACACTGTGGTTGACTGCAAGAGCAACGATCACTCCTTATGGTCAAACTATCTGACAAAGGGATCTCTGTGTCAGTTGCTACTAGATACGAGATACTTCTGGACAGGGAGTCTACTGACCATCCAGCAGCATGATGCCCCACTCCTGGCTCTGCATCCACTCCATCATCTTCTCCGCCTCCCACGACCGCTTCATGGAGTGCGCCAACATGGAGTACGTGCTGATACAGATGGCACAGCCTGCAGTACAAGGCGGGTATACACAGCAACATGGTGGTGAGGTGAGGTGAGGTGAAAAGGGGTTTAACGTCGCACTTGAGAATACTTTGCTCATATGACAATGGGCATGAGTGTGTATGTGTGGCTGCTTGTACTAGCCCACACTTAAGATTGTTTATAGTGCTAGCTCACTGAGAAACCATGCTGCAGTGAAGCATGAATACCCCACTCAGACACATTATACTGACTCTGACCCGACCAGTCCTTGCTGTACCCATTAATGCCGAGCGCCAGGCAGGGACCAACAAGTACCATATTTTAACATCTTTTGCTATGGCGCGGTGGGCGATCAAACCTGCGACCTTCCGCTCTCTGGGCGGATGCTCTAACCACTACACCACAGAGGCGGTCTCCACCAACATGGACACACATTACAAGGCAGTTTTCATATTATATCAACATCAACCCATCACCCCCATATCAGCCAAATATGCAAAGCTAGAGGGCCAATATGAGATCAAATTCTAACATCAGGTATGATATGAAAACTGCTGTGTGATAATCTTCACATCACATACCATGTCAAATTGTAAAATGTATCAATCTGCAAGTTTTGGTTTGGTTGGTGTTAAACGCCACACTCAGCAATATTCCAGCAACAGCATGAGCATCGATCTATGCGGTCTGATGACAATCAATCAAGTCAGGACCTGAGACAATCAAGTGATCAACAGTCAGCAAACCTGACAGCCTTACCCGATCTTCAGAGTGATAAGCTCATGTGGGTATACATTTTCACCTTGTTTGGGAAGCACTGTCAAATGAAATTTCAGTCATTTTACTCAGTTAAATGGCAATATCAAAACCAACTCTAAGGATGATCTCAATACTGTGTCCAATTAAAATGCACTGACAAGCCTTATCCGCATAAATATAGGGTGGTTATAAGGACTGTGTCATTTCATCCTGTTATATGACTGTCTGTATGTTGGCCCCATTGCTGGTCATTTCATCCTGTTATATGACATGCTAAAACGGGTCATATCACTGATAAGTATATGATACTGCATAGCAATAATTAGCATCGGTTTGGTGACACACTTACCCATTGGTTTATCTTTGGCATCTGAGGTGAACCTACAGATAAGACTGTCATCTACTGTGGACCACATCTTGAACTGAAATACAATAACACTGGAGTTATCTACCTTTGCTGTAAAGCTGATCACTGTCAGCTTACTAAGATCACTAGACATCAAGTGATGAAGTGAGTTACTAAGAAGACTGACATAGTGAGTGAGTGAGTGAGTGAGTGAGTGTGGTTTTATGTTGCAATATTCCAGCATTATCATCGTGGGGGACACCAGAAAAGGGCTCCACACATTGTACCCATGCGGAGAATCAAACTCGGGTCTTTGGTGTGACAAGCAAACGTTTTGACCACTCGGCTACCCCACTGCCCCCACACAACTTAGCGACTTTGACTCACCTGTGACCTCCACTGCTCCACCGACACACCGGATGTACACAGACATATGCAGCGTTTCCTCACCGTACAGGCAGCTGTCACCCCGACCAGAGTCTTTCCGGCACCTGGCATGAAAACAAGCCCAGCGTCATCAACACAACAGTCTACATGTTGGATCATATATGATACATTGACTGACTGAGTTTGGTTTTACGCCGCTTTTAGCAAAATTTCAGCAACATCACGGCAGGGGACACCAGAAATGGACTTCACACATTGTACCCATGTGGGGATTCGAACCTGGGTCTTTGGCGTGACGAGCCAACGCTTTAACCACTAGGCTATCCCACCGCCCCCATATATGATACAAATTACTTTGAAATGTAAAACCAATTCTTGAATCTTCAATTTTTCAATACATAAGTGAAAATGAACACATCATGAAGAGTGTGGACTACCTACCGCAGGGTAGCACTATAACACCGGACCGAGCCCTGCCATTACCAAACATCTTCCGCAGACTCTTCTCCTGGTAGGGTCGCAGAACCGTGGATGGCTTCAGATCCATGCTGAAATACCATACTCAGATCAATCACCTCACCTCCAAGCAATAGTGTTCAGTAATCACTGTCCCTTAGACTATAACAATAGTTTGTTAAAGCTACATCTCTACAATGAGACACTCTGTGAGAGTAGTAACTGCTCCAAGTGATGGTGACTGTCCACTTGAGTTATTCCTGATTCCCTGTCTCATTACCCTGCCTTCCCCCGATCTACTCACTTCACATCTGGGTTGACTGTATCATTCCTGAAGTCATATTCTGCCAGGAGAGGATGCTCAAGCTCTATACATCTGAAATACATGATACATTTCAAATACATCTGTAAATTCAATGAGCTAATGGCCACACAGCACTTCATCATAAATCCATCAATTTACTGAACTTTTAACATGATACGTGAATGTGTCAGTATGTGAGTGGGTGAGTGAGTGAGTGAGTGAGAGTATGTCTTTGTCTTACTCTTCTCGTTTTGGTGTCTGTCTGTTTGGTCTATGTAGTTGCCCGAATCTGTCTGGAAGCTGGTAAACGTTTGTCTCTCAGTCTGTGTGTCTGAGTACCTCAGACTCTGTGTGGGTGTTTAGAGTTTGTGCTCTCTGCTGGTTGATGTGTCTGTCTGAAAGTGTATGTCGAACAGCATGTGTTGGGACTGTACATGTGTGTGTCTGAGTGCATGTGAATTTATACTCAGTCTGAGCAGATGTCTGATGACGATGATGATGATGATGATTTAACGTACGCTTTCCGACATAATGCGTATTTCGCACACGGTCCCGTCAGGCCATTTAGTGTTTAATCGAAAGAGTTGATTTGACCAATAGATATGGCAACCTGAAGGGGGAGTTAGTGTTGCATAATAAAATGTGTATGAATTTTGACTGACTGACTGAGTTTGGTTTTACGCTGCTTTTAGCAATATTCCAGCAACATCACGGTGGGGGACACCAGAAATGGGCTTCATCACATTGTACCCATGTGGGGATTTGAACCCGGGTCTTCAGCGTGACGAGCCAACGCTTTAACCACTAGGCTACCCCCACCGGCCCGGTATGAATTTTGAACTACGGGCTAGTGTGTAAGAGTCGATGTACTATGTCTATGTGTCTGACCTTCATGATACTGTGCATGAGAGCCTGTGTTGGTGACTGTGTCTGAGTGTTTGTCAGTCTCACCGTTTCTGCACATCCTCTACGCGCTCCTGCAGCACCTCGAAAGACACGGTCTTCATTTCATTATCCTCCTCATCATCTTCCTCCTTGTCCAGCTTGTCATAGTAGTCAAATATATCATCCGGCACCTTGTTCTCCTCTGTATCCATCTCCCCCTCCGCCCCTGCTGGTGTCTGATCCGCCTGTGATGACGACCCTGCCGCGGACGCAGCTGGCTTGTTTAGCTGGACATTCAATCACAAGGATTCAACAGTGCTGTTAGCAGCCAAATTGTAAGAATTTACTGAAGAGCAACAGTTCCTGACATACCTGCAGTGCTGACTTGACAACACCTCTCCCTTGCACAAAGCTAACATGTATCTAGTGTTAACCTCCCTGACAAGCTGACATACCTGTAGTGCTGACTTGACAACACCTCTCCCTTGCACAAAGCTAACATGTATCTAGTGTTAACCTCCCCGACAAGCTGACATACCTGCAGTGCTGACTTGACAACACCTCTCCCTTGCACAAAGCTAACATGTATCTAGTGTTAACCTCCCCGACAAGCTGACATACCTGCAGTGCTGACTTGACAACACCTCTCCCTTGCACAAAGCTAACATGTATCTAGTGTTAACCTTCCCGACAAGCTGACATACCTGCAGTGCTGACTTGACAACACCTCTCCCTTGCACAAAGCTAACATGTATCTAGTGTTAACCTCCCCGACAAGCTGACATACCTGTAGTGCTGACTTGACAACACCTCTCCCTTGCACAAAGCTAACATGTATCTAGTGTTAACCTCCCGACAAGCTGACATACCTGTAGTGCTGACTTGACAACACCTCTCCCTTGCACAAAGCTAACATGTATCTAGTGTTAACCTCCCCGACAAGCTGACATACCTGCAGTGCTGACTTGACAACACCTCTCCCTTGCACAAAGCTAACATGTATCTAGTGTTAACCTCCCGACAAGCTGACATACCTGTAGTGCTGACTTGACAACACCTCTCCCTTGCACAAAGCTAACATGTATCTAGTGTTAACCTCCCCGACAAGCTGACATACCTGTAGTGCTGACTTGACAACACCTCTCCCTTGCACAAAGCTAACATGTATCTAGTGTTAACCTCCCGACAAGCTGACATACCTGTAGTGCTGACTTGACAACACCTCTCCCTTGCACAAAGCTAACATGTATCTAGTGTTAACCTCCCCGACAAGCTGACATACCTGTAGTGCTGACTTGACAACACCTCTCCCTTGCACAAAGCTAACATGTATCTAGTGTTAACCTTCCTGACAAGCTGACATACCTGTAGTGCTGACTTGACAACACCTCTCCCTTGCACAAAGCTAACATGTATCTAGTGTTAACCTCCCTGACAAGCTGACATACCTGTAGTGCTGACTTGACAACACCTCTCCCTTGCACAAAGCTAACATGTATCTAGTGTTAACCTCCCGACAAGATGACATACCTGTAGTGCTGACTTGACAACACCTCTCCCTTGCACAAAGCTAACATGTATCTAGTGTTAACCTCCCGACAAGCTGACATACCTGTAGTGCTGACTTGACGACACCTCTCCCTTGCACAAAGCTAACATGTATCTAGTGTTAACCTCCCCGACAAGCTGACATACCTGTAGTGCTGACTTGACAACACCTCTCCCTTGCACAAAGCTAACATGTATCTAGTGTTAACCTCCCTGACAAGCTGACATACCTGTAGTGCTGACTTGACAACACCTCTCCCTTGCACAAAGCTAACATGTATCTAGTGTTAACCTTCCCGACAAGCTGACATACCTGTAGTGCTGATTTCCCTGACACCTCTCCCTTGCACAAAGCTAACATGTATCTAGTGTTAACCTCCCTGACAAGCTGACATACCTGTAGTGCTGACTTGACAACACCTCTCCCTTGCACAAAGCTAACATGTATCTAGTGTTAACCTCCCGACAAGCTGACATACCTGTAGTGCTGACTTGACAACACCTCTCCCTTGCACAAAGCTAACATGTATCTAGTGTTAACCTCCTGACAAGCTGACATACCTGTAGTGCTGACTTGACAACACCTCTCCCTTGCACAAAGCTAACATGTATCTAGTGTTAACCTCCCTGACAAGCTGACATACCTGTAGTGCTGACTTGACAACACCTCTCCCTTGCACAAAGCTAACATGTATCTAGTGTTAACCTCCCGACAAGCTGACATACCTGTAGTGCTGACTTCCCTGACACCTCTCCCTTGCACAAATGCTAACATGTATCTAGTGTTAACCTCCCGACAAGCTGACATACCTGTAGTGCTGATTTCCCTGACACCTCTCCCTTGATAAAACCATCGGCAGTGGCTTCTTCCTCTACATCTTCCGCTTGCGACACTCCTGGATGATGGGATCCTTCAGCAGCTTCTGCAGGACATCCTGTGGGCAGAAAGAAGGAGTTTCTTCAACAAGTGACACTTTGTTGTTGATCTCCACACTCAGCAGTAATTCTAACAACATGACAATGTTATGTACCACACACACCCAAATTGAAAGCATGATCAACATCAACAGAATGTACCTGAATGAAATGTAACCATCCTGGGACATTTTCAACGATGGATAGAACATAGGACTGGGCTTGATATAGATCAAGGTATAGAGATAGGTAATTGTTAACTAAATATCGATTGATTATCGATGAATACCGCGACGTAACTTTGAGGAAAAATGCCTAAGATGTCTAAAAGACATTATTAAATTCACATCACTGGTGATTGGTGACATGTTTTCGCATGTATTACAGAGGTACAGATAGCTGCGTATCTGCGTAAATTACGCAAATATTTATGTGAAAACTCAATTCGTATTAAGTCTATTGGGTACAAGTACGCTTCATTTTTTGTAAATACTCAATACATTTGATCTTGCATGCGTACACACACAAGTGTCAAATCTTAGCTTGCGTAGCGGTGGACAGATAAAGTAACAAAGGTATACTGAGAGGCTCTTTTTCAGCACATGAACATAACAACTTTCTCATATTACAGATCAAATATAGGTAACAAGCACATAAACGAACATTAAACTTTATCATATATTTACAATTTATGGAAAATGGCAAAATACCCAATTGAGGTTTGGTGAGGTGGGTACAATTTATTTGGTTACTTAAAGGAAAATTAGGATACCCCATTGAGATGAACACAAGCGAGTTCACAACTCAATGACCAAAAAAGTTATCTGTAGCTCTGTATTACTAACAAAACAGCTGCCTGAATATAATTTAGAGGCAGACCACGATTAAAGTCCTAAAACTGTATATTATGTGAGTAAATTTTAAAAGAATTTTATCACAAAAGTCGACAATATTTTTGATTATTGATTATTTCAGCCAGCCTTATTAGAATCTCATCCTGATAAGCATATCTGGAGAACTTAGTAGAAACTGTTCTGTCAATCACAAGGAACTCACCGGGTGCTGGCTCTCCACAAAGTATCTGTTGTGCTTCAGAACCAGCTTCACCTTCCCGTAACTCAGAGTGCACAGCTGCAACAGAAGGAACAGGTAACACACACCTTCAGCACATCAGTGAAACAAGAAAACATGTTATTTTGAAAGGAAAACTCAAAGTGGTCATTGTCTTTCTGTAGTGACCTACTTTGTAATCATAATCCTCACTGACATCAGTTAACAGACTAATGGGAAAGAAAAAAAGATACTGTTCTGAAATGTCCATCTAATCATCATTTGTGAATTGTGAAAAAAAAGATGTCCTTTCTTAGAAGTAGCTAAACATTTACACAAAGATATAGTTTCATTACTCAGTGATAAGATTTGGTAATTATCTCCCACAGTTTCAATGTGAGGTATTTATACATATAGTACAAGTGTTACTGTCCTATAGTTTTTACAGACCTTTATACCGTGAAGATCTGGGTTAGAATTGATCTTCAGTAACCCATGCTTGTCGTAAGAGGCAAATAACGGGATCAGATGGTCAGACCTCGCTGACTTGGTTGACACATGTCATCGTATCCCAATTGCGTAGATCATTGCTCATGCTGTTGATCACTGGATTGTCTGGTCCAGACTCGATTATTTACAGACCGCCGCCATATAGCTGGAATATTGCTGAGTGTGGCGTAAAACTTACTCGCTCGCTCACTCACAAACCTTTATAAACTCTATGATTCCGTTAGGGAGTGACGTTTTGCTGAGTCGGCGAAGATACTCAATGATGTCGTTTGTCTCCAGGCCCACAGACACAGCGGCGTAAAGGGAGTAGGCGGTCAGTTTGTACTCATGTATGTGGAGGGGTCGACACACCGGCTGCAACAACACTCACATCTACATATGGCCCCACTTGGTGTATTCCCAGAGTGGCCCCCCTGTATATTACGTAACAAACTAAATTCAGGGGCCACTCCAGGACAGCTCGTTAAGAAGGTGTGAACATGGGGGGGCCAGTGTGGGACAACTTTTTAGTTGTCAAAATAAAGAGTAGAAGGTGTCTGCGGAAGCTGTTAAGAAGGTGTGAATGTAGGTGAACGTTGATGACTTCTGCTCATAGACGATCTTCAAGAAAGTAGTAGACTTCTTGTATTTGCTACTGTTGATAACCTGCAAAGGCTGTGCAAGAGCAATACTGTTTCCATGGATGGTACCTTCAAGATATGCCCTAAGACTTGAATACATGATATGCGAGAGGGACATGGCCTCCTTTGTTAGGTTGTGGAACATTGCTCAACTGAAAATGTGTATTGATTTGTGATATGTGACTTGTGATATGACTTGATATGTATATGTACAGTCATGGACATGAATAATGTAAATATATCGTAAAACACTCTTTGGTTTGTTGTGTTTCTTTTTCATCATGGTATGCAGAGCTCTTTCAAAGCATCACGCCTCCATAATTAGTCCAACACTGTTGGTAATTAAGCTGATTTGATTAAGACAGGCCAGTGTGGAAACGCTAAAGTGTTCAGGGGCCACTCATTAGAGTTGGGTATTGCAAATATTTTCGTATTGCGATATATTGTGATATGTGTTGGCGTATTGCAATATGTATTGCAGTACATTGTGGCCACTGGCCACTGTAAGGACTCAGATGTGATTGTACAAGAGATCAATTGAAAATGTTTCCAAATTAAAAACTTCGCTCTAAAGTTTGGAACTCGAGAAAAAGCGTCTGCCATTTTGGTTTGTTTATCCTTCCAACGAGTGCCTGTACCAATCTATTTTTTCTTATTTATACGGTTTAAAAGTCACGCAAATTTGCAAATACATATTAATTATATGACCAAAAAACATTCTCAAAACTATTAATGTATAATAATATAAAGGAAATACAAATGTTATTAGTACGTTTGACTACATCACGAAAATTTCCGATCGTATCGGGTGAACCGGTTCGTGAAAAGTGTACCGCAATATATCGTATCGTGAAGTTTGAATTGCAATATACCGGTTAACTGGTATTATCGCCCACCCCTACCACTCATGTAAGGGTTGTTAACAAGGTGTGAAACCTCTGGGGCCACTGTGGGAAGGGCCACTCTGGGTGTAAATCGCCCCACTTCACTTGGTTCAGGGATTTATCTCGGATGAAAAACAAAGTGCCCCTGGCCATATTGGTATGCTTGGAAGGCAGGCAGATTTTGGTGAAAAATGTTAGATTGTACTTAATGTTGCCTTAACATAGGGCAAACTGGTATAGTGGTCTAGTTGTAGTATTTGTCAATTAATCACAAACAATACTGAGATAACCTCAATACTTTGCAGGTACACCCCAGTATTCATTAATCATGTTAATAACGTACTGGTACAAAACAAGGCTGATTACACAGGCGTCAAGCCTCACCTCAGATATGGCGATGAGGAAGTCATGGGCAGTGCTTATAGACAGGGGAGAACGATTCCAGGAACACATGGCCATTTGGTGCCTGCAACAATCAATAACTGATGATGACCACATCATATCACCGTGACTAAACCATATTGTATTTATCCATACCTGAGAAGATCCAGATTAGAATTGGTCTTCGGCAAATCTATGCTTGTCGTTACAATGAGTGAGTTTAGTTTTACGCCGCACTCAGCAATATTCCAGCTATATGACGGTGGTCTGTAAATAATCAAGTCTGGACCAGACAATCCAGTGATCAACAACATGAACATCGATCTATGCAATTGGGATATGATGACATGTGTCAACCAAGTCAGGAAGCCTGACCACCCGATCCTGTTAGTCAGCCTCTTACGACAAGCATGGGTTACTGAAGACCAATTTTTACCCGGATCTTCACAGGTTCTTGTTGTTAGAAGCGACAAACAAGAACAGGTTGTCAGGCTCCCTGACTTAGTTGATACATCATTGTATCCCAGTTGCGTGCGACTTTAAAGAACAAACAAACAAAACAAAAGTAACTAGCCAACAAGAAACTGACAGCATGAATACAAAATCAAACCTGGTGATTGAAATCATGAGCATTCACTTATGATGACATGGAATCAACTAAATCCCCTAGTCTGACCACCCGATCTATGGGTTGATCAGTTGAATGTGATCCAGGAAATTTGAGAAAGGGATCACCTACCACCCACAAGGGTCTCGAATTGTGGTCAAGCTTCAGTTCAAGGATCTTGCGATAATCTTTGGCTCCAAACTCATCTTCAGCACTTCTCTCTTCCACCTGCTTTGATGCAACTGTTGCAATGTCTACAAAAAAGGAAATCACAATCAGGGAGTGAGTGAGTTTGGGTTTACTCCGCTTTTAGCAATATTCCAGCAATATCACAGCGGGGGACACCAGAAATGGGCTTCACACATTGCACCCATGTGGGGAACTGAACCCAGGTTTTCAGCGTGACGTGCGGATGCTTGAACTACTAGGCCACCCCACCACCCCCACAATCAGGACCCAAACAGTGAAAGCATGTTCGCTTGTTAGATACAGTACTACATTCTACCACAGATTCTTCAGAGGGGCTTCATGTTTGGGGTCAGACTACTTATTGTTAATCCATGAATATGGAAAATTACTGATTCTGTCAGTTATTTCAGACGCCATTACTACCTCTGTTTGAAACAGCTCATACTAGTAATTGATTTCCCAATATCGAAGAGTTTTCAGCAACAGACTGACTTCTGTAAGTTGCATTTAGAAGCTGGTATGAGTGAGTGAGTGGGTGAGTTTAGTTTTACGCCGCACTCAGCATTATTCCAGCTGTATGGTGGCGGGCTGTAAATAATCGAGTCTGGACCAGACAATCCAGTGATCAACAACATGAGCATCAATCTGCACAGTTGGGAACCAATGACATGTGTCAACCAAGTCAGCGAGTCTGACCACCCCATCCCGCTTAGTCGCCTCTCTTACGACAAGCATGGGTTACTGAAGATCAATATTCTAACCCGGACCCTCACGGGTCAGAAGCTGGTATGATGAAGAGAAACATTTTTTATGGATAGCTGAAGGTGCTGACACTGAACGGAGATCAAGGTAATTACATCCCTACAGCTTACCATCATCTAATCAAGGCCAATAAAGAATAACCCTTCCCAACCCTTTGTCCATATCATAGCCATTATCTATAATTTCAACAAGCATCAGAATTGGCATCACACTGTACATCAATCTCTTCAATTGTATTAATTCAAATACCCTTCTTGTACCGGTACAAATCCTCCTTGTGCATAATGTTGTGTATCACTTGCTTGATAATGTTTTTAGCATCTACACCGAGTGAGTGAGTTTAGTTTTACGCTGCTTTTAGCAATATTCCAGCAATATCACAGCGTGAACATGAGTAATGGGCTTCACACATTGTTCCCATGTGGGGAATCAAACCCAGGTCTTCAGCGTGAAAAGTGAACGCTTTAACCACTAGGCTACCCCACATCTACATCGAAACGTCTCATCTATTGCTATTGTTCCTCTTCAACACAGAGAGAGTATTTTTGGAATTTTGGCATTTTAGTATGGATCTGACAAGACAGTGGTTGATAGCATGAACACCATTGAGTCATAATGATGGATTACCAGTCATATTTCCCAACAAACCTGTGGTAGATATGTATAGTTCAAAGAATCGTTAAATCACTGAAATGATTATGTTTGACACTCAAGTATATTTCCAACATTCTAGCCCTGACACTTGATCTGTTTGCCATTTGTAGAGCACTGGTTCTGCATGAACATAGTTACAAAGATATACTGTCTGATGTGCAAAATATTGACGATCTCTGTAATTATAGTAACAACCTTTGACATTATCTGTGTCCTGGGATTCATCATCAAAGTCATCATATTCTACTTCAACGACTTTGGCCTTCTTCGATGATCTCTCTCCTGAAATGTAAGAACATGAACAAATGATATCACTGTCCCAATTATAGATAATAAACTTATCTGCCTTTTCAGTACATATATGTGAACACCGTCATATTTATGTCATTAATAATTCCAAGAATTCCAAGGTTTTGTAAACAAGCAACACCTTATCAAAAGAAGGTTGCCTGCATTAAACAAGCAACTACCTTATCTGAAAATCATGTTCTTTTGATCACAACAGCTAACCAATGTTGCCTAAATCATGAGCATTAAATGGTTATTTGACTTTTAAAGGTTCAAGACTTCATTAAATTACAGGTTTAAGATTGTTAATAATGTAAATATGAGCAGTCCTTGATACTACAGAAAAATATTCGAGCAGCACTGTACTAATGAATAAGACTATATATGTGTTTTGTGGTTTTATTACATTTGTGTAATACAGTTCAATGTTTGAGATCCAAATGAGAAGTGTGACCTAATGTAAGACGGGTACAAATAAACGGGCGCATATGATATAATAACCCTAAAGTATATATTATAATAACCCTAACCTTAAACCTTTTCACTACAACACCAATTTACATTTTGACATTTCAAGCAGGGGTTACTGGGCGGAACTCTTACCATGTAATGTTTGTTGCAATGCTTATGTGTTGACAAACCTTAGAAACATATTTTTCAAAATGAAAACCTTTAATTTAAAATGGTTGGGACATGCTATTGCTAACTACAGTAGACATGGTTGCGATTCCAGATAATATAATATTGTTAATAATTTGAGTATAAATGAACAAGTATAATATTTCCAATAAGTTACCTTTATCTCGTTTGTCCTTTTTACTTCCCCCCATCCTATTCTAGAATTTGTTATTCATATCTTGTCAAGATGTTCATCTCATGCTTCTATCAGCACTTTTGAGATAACTCTTTGGTAAACAGAGTTAAATAAGCACAATTTCAGGGTTTTTCAAAAGTGAGAATATGCACCGAACAGCGATAACTTTTAAACAATCACTGCATTTGATAATGATCCGTTTCACCTCTGAATCACATTGTTCCAAAATAAATATTAAGAAAAACAGAGGAAAAAGAACAACCTTACATAATATTTTATAATAATAAATGACCTCCTTAGTTCATTTTTATTTTTGGCTCAGGATTTTAATACATCATGAAAATCGAACCGAATGTTTACGACATATTAAAAACAACCTAACTTCCAGGTTTCATATAACAGCAACTAAAATTTATGTTAAATAAGCTCATATGCACAAACGATGCCAATAATTTTGTGATATAACATATAACCATATGCTTAACGATAACCGACATGTAAAATTATATTTCCGGTTTGCAGTGTGATCGAAGGAAGAGCTTGGGTGAAATTTAATGTAAAATTATGTTTATTGATGCATTTGATATCATATAGGACACAATATCGTACGGGTTATATTCTAAAGTTATTTTAGTTTGAAAATGAGGACATATAGTCTTCATCTGATAAGTATTATCTTGCGCTGTAGTGAAATGACCTACTCGGCATGGCGAGATGCTTTTTGTAGTATGACTGCCGGCACATGGATTCGCATTATTATTGCTTCTGTTGTATGTAATCTGCTATCTGAGCTGTTTTGAGAACACATTTTTGTTCCATCTTGCGAACACGGTAATTCTTTGTGCAATTTGTTTGACTCCTGCAGTACTTTCATTAATCATAGATTAGAAGAATAGGAAGACAATGAGAGGGCCACACTGCGAGTGTTGCATTTACAACTCTTTGTTGGGATAAGGCAGATATGCCTGTTACTTTAGACATGTGTGTGAATAATTCCTCAGTGGCAAGTACAAGGGTAGTCAGTAATACAGTTAGTCTTTCCTACTCCCATTTCCCATTCTATTACTGATAGTTGAGCTAATATAGGTTCACTCATGATGGCATACCATGCCCTGGATGTGAAATGTTTTATCAAGTTGTTTATAGATTTTCCTTGCTGCTTTGTTTTGTACCCATAGTTTGATAATCTTAAGATACTGTCTTTTCTTATGTCATAATTGTATCTACAACAGTTTTATGGCATTCAACAACACTGCCACTCCTTTCCCCTATAAGAAAACCTTTTTGTGTATCTAAATAGTCTAAAAATGTCGACCCAAGCTTATTTCATTGGCAACTGTGTGGCTGTTGGTAAAGATCTTACACACATTTTAGATTTGTAAACTGATTGGAAAGGACCCTATTAACAATATATAATGCATTTGAAAATAACTCTTTTTTATGAAGTCACTCATTAGTACTTTTGACTAAAACAATGAAAGTCTTTCTTGGCATATGTCCAGGTCTGGATACAAAATGTTATCTAGTTATGATGATGCAAATATTGGTAAAACTTGATGTATTGTTTTCATAAATTTTGTACCCCAGGCACATTTAAATGGAGAAGGCTGATCTTATTAGGTATAGGTGTGGAAATTGATGCTTAGTCAACATTCTCTTATAGAGTACTATTTTAAAGTTTTCTTTATTTTTTATGACGTGAATTACAACAGGCAAGAAAAGAAGTTTAGTGTATGGATAAGAAATGAGAACAGTGTTGACAGTGAAAGCACCATGATTCAGCAAGGGAGATAGATGGGAAGACATTGTCTCGGACAAGATTCTGATTGTAGACACCTGTCTGTGCAGCTGCACAATCGACCCATGAAGATCTTGGTTAGAGGTGGTCTTCACCAAGCCATGCTTGTCATAAGAGGCGACAATTGTGTAGATTGATGCCATTGCTGTTGATCACTGGATTGTCTGATCCAGAGTTGATTTTTTATAGACTGCTGCCATATATCTGGAATACTGCTTAGTATGGTGTTAAACAACAAACATATACTGAGAGAAACAAATAAAGGAACACAGAAAAATTCAAGTGTTTTTTGATATTTTCCAGTTTTCATCACCAGCTTTGAATAGTGCTGTGCGAGGAAATCTGAGAATAAATAAAGAAACACTGCCATGAAGTGTTCCCTTATTTATTTCCCTCAGTATATCAAACAAACAATACATTCATTGTCTTTATCCAAAACCAACAACAAAAACTGCACAATCACAGCAGTGATGCTAGTTCGTTAACACAAAGAAACACTGTTATTTTCAGATGACTGTGCCTCCAGGAAAGACCCCGATTAGCTTCCTCCAAGAATTATGTACCAAAAGGGGGATAACTCCACAGTACGACCTAATTGCCAATGAGGGTGCTGTTCATGAGCCAACCTTCTTAATGAGGGTGACAGTGGGCGATGTCGTTGCCACTGGAAAAGGTTTCTATGATTTCTTCATCTTCAGCACTGCTTACAAAGCTTTCTGTATGTTACTGTATGTTTATAGATATATGTTAATCAACAGTTTGAAAAGCAAAAAAATTAATTCCAGAGATTTATGATGACAGTGTCTTTAGAATCAAATGTTTACGCTGATCTGATTCGATCAAACAAACTCACTATTTGTGTGCTGATAACAAGGGGTTTTCAGCTAGTAAGATGACTGTTTTCTAGAACGTTAAAATGTATTCATTGTCATTTGCACTGTCTACTTGGTAAATATATTTGCCATCTTTGTCCTTGTTCTGGAAATTTGGTCCGAGGAAAAGAAAACCCTGAAAAACTCAAATTTTTCTTTAATAGTACATCCCTCTCGGTATGGATGTCATTATGCTCAGAAACGAACACAGCGTAGTGCAAAAATTTGTAGTCACTTATATGGATATGCTCCTCTTTATGTCAAAGTTCCCCTGATATTACCAGTCGATGTTTGTCTGACTGTAACTGTGTTCACAGTGTGTGATGTGGAAACGGTTGTTTTGACGATATCTTAGAACATTTCATGTTGTGCATGATGAGTATGTTGTGTGTTCTATTATATATATGTTGAGCATGTTGTTTGTTTTACATGATGTATATCAGTGTTCGAAATACCTGCCTGGGAACGGGATATTTTCAACACGGACTGACACATTCTCAAATTCACCTGCCCAACGGTCGGGTTAAAATGTATGAAGATATTCATCATATTTCAGTTTAATAAATCATTATTATTTCACTCGTAAAAATAAATGATGAATTCCAATTGGATGATACACTATGTCTTTTTTCAAACCTAACCAGCCCTGTGGTCTGGCTGAAATGTTTGGGAGTTTCATACCCTGATGTATATATTCAGAGGTACAGATAAGCTGCGTATCTGCGTAAATTAATTACGCAAATATTTATGTGAAAACTCAATTTCTATTAAGTCTATTGAGTACAAGTACGCTTGAAGTTTTGTAAATACTCAATAAATGTGATCTTACATGCATACACTAAAAAATGTCAAATCACAGCTTGCGTACCGGTGGATAGATAAAGAAACTGAGGTATATTGAAAGGTTCTATTTTAGGACATGAACTTGACAACTTGCAGTTTTTCTTATCGTTTTTCATATTACAGATCAAATATAAATAACAAACACTAACATTTAAACTTTATTATATTTTCAAAATTAATGGAAAATGGGATACCCAAATGAGATGAACACAAGTGAGTACATAACTCAATGACCCAAAAAGTTATCTGTAGCTCTGTATATATTATAGGTGGAACGTGTTGTATGTTGTATGTGGTGTATATGTGGAACATGTATGTTCTACATGATGTACGTGTTGAACATGTATGTTATATATCTTGCATGTTGTACATGTTGATAGTGGTACATGTTGTATGATGTGTTGAACATGTTGTGTAGATATGTTGCTTGCTATAAATGTTGTACATGCTGTATGTTGTATCTTGTACGTAATGTACATGTGGAACATGTTGTATGATGTACATGTTGTATGTTGTACAGTTGAGCATGGGTATATATATTGCATGTTATACATGATGTATATGCTGTATGTTGTATCTTGTATGTAATGTACATGTGGAACATCTTGTATGATGTACATGTTGTATGTTGTACAGTTGAGCATGGGTATATATATTGCATGTTATACATGATGTATATGCTGTATGTTACGAATGTTGAAGGTTCAAGCAAGAAGAAAGCCAAACATGCAGCTGCCCAGACAGCCCTCAACCAGATTCTTGGTGTGTCCAATGGCCAGAAACCAGAAGAAAACGAGTTAGTGTATTTATGATTATATATCTTTTCAATTAACTTCATGGTCCTGCAGATTAGAACATGCCCAAGCCTGATTACTTTTTGTAAGAGGCAGCAACACCATTGAGAACCTGTGGGGACGTGTTAGAATCTGTCCTTAGCAGTCTGTGCTCGTCATGATTTATTGGTGAGCCTCAGTGACATTATCATTATTGTTTAAAATATCAGTAACCATATTGTCGAGTCTCAGCTATTATCAAGGAGACATCATTTAGCTACAATCTGGAGGTGTTTTTCTACTTGATGAGAGTGATAATGGATGTCATTCTCAAATCTGAAAATTATGGCCCCGTCAACAGTCCAAGACATAACATGTACGAGAGATGGCCTACTGTATCTTGTTTCGAGATGAGTGCACTCTGTAGTACAAAGTGAAGCACTTGACCCTAATTCATTCAATCACTGTGGAACCAACTTGATAGGGTGGTCAGTGGATCAGTGTGAATTTGTATTTTATTATCAACTCCCTCGGGAGTATGCAACCCAAGTTGAGGCTTGTTCTCCTGCCTGGCCTTGTTTAAAGGTGATTAATTAAGTTCTGGTTGTGTCAGAGTAGGGTAACTATATTAAACTGTGGAAACTATCTGAGTGGGCTGGGGCTACATACATACGCATCACCTGACTGCACATTGCATTATAAGGGGCGGTGGGGTAGCTTAGTGGTTAAAGCGACTGCTTGTCACACAGAAGATTCGGGTTCGATTCCCCACATGGGTACAATGTGTGAAGCCCATTTCTTGTGTTCCCGGCAGTGATATTGCTGGAATATTGCTAAAAGCGGCGTAAAAATAAACTCACTCACTATTGTTGGAGTGAATATGATGTTGATTACCATTTGTCAACTCCTTTGTTAACATTGTTACTTTGACTGGATGTTGTGTTGTGTTCGTCAGTGTCTCTGACTCTGGAGAGGACCTTGGTCCTGGGAATCCAATCGGGGAACTTCAGGAGTTCACACAGAAGAAACTGATCAAACCACCAGTCTATGAGTTTACTAGTGAGCAGGGACCACCACATGCTCGCGAGTTTGTCTGTCTTGTCAAGCTTGGAAAGTTCCAGGAAAGAGGTAATTAGCTGCTGTTGTCTAGTAACTATAGTGACAATGATTTTGTCTGGACTTTGGTACCAACTTCACATTTAATGTGAACATTTTTATAACTGAATGGAGACAGTACCATGAAAGAATGTGAAAAATGTGACCTAAACCTGGTCTCTGTGTTGTTATGGTATTGTGTTTGTTTCATCTTGTTTTACCATATGCTGAAAGGTTAAGGCGTTTGCTTATCACATGAAACACACAGGGCATAATGTGTGAAGCCTATCTCGGGCGTCCCATATCGTGATGTTGTTCAAGCCGTGCTCACTCACATATTTTACCTGGGTGGTGGGGTAGCCTAGTTGTTAAAGTGTTCGCTCATCATGCTGAAGACCCAGGTTCGATTGCTCAAGAGGGTACAATGTGTGAAGCCCATTTCTGGTGTCCCCTGCCGTGATATTGCTGGAATATTGCTAAAAGCAGCGTAAAAGCACACTAACTAACTCACTCACTGCTTTTACCATGACAGAAATGGTGTTCATTGATTTCAAAAGGTTAAATGATAAAAGTTAAGTTTTTCGGCTGAACACTTGATGATCAGTGTCCCCTGTCACCACCAAGTTAAAGATTTAATGAATTTCCATTGCCTGTGTGCAGGTACGGGGGCGATCAAAGAAAACAGCCAAGCGCAATGCAGCGCAGGCAATGATGCAGCATATCAAGACCATCACCACAGATGGGGATCAACCCACGACCATCGAGGACTCGGAGGAGGAGGATGAAATACCACTGGTATGTGTACAGTTGATGCAGTAACTCATGTGTACAAAGGAACACATAACATCGGGACCTGTGAAGATCCGGGGTAGAATAGGTCTCCAGCAACCCATGCTTGCCACAAAAGGCAACTATGCTTGTTGTAAGAGGCGCGCAATTGATGCTCATGCTATTGATCACTGGATTGTCTGGTCCAGACTCGATTCTTTACAGACCGCTGCCATATAGCTGGAATATTGCTGAGTGTGGCGTAAAACAACAGACCAAACCAAACCAAGATACTGTGGCAAAGATAAAACAATATTTGATGTTTAAAAAGTTTGGCTTGAACAAAAGGGGCACAGATTTAATCACAAAATTTTGTACTTCAAAACTTGATAACTGAACAAAATATGGCCATATAGCTTGAATATTGCTGAGTGCGGCATAAAACTAAACTCGCTCATAAAATCGGATTCTCATCTATAAAGTATCCATTTGATTCAGTATTCATGTGTGCAGTAATGTGTATGCAGTAACACATGTCCATAGTAACACATGTTCATAGTAACACATGTCCATAGTAACACATGTTCATAGTAACACATATCCATAGTGACACATGTCCATAGTGACACATGCTCATAGTGACACATGTCCATAGTGACACATGTCCATAGTGACACATGCTCATAGTGACACATGTCCATAGTGACACATGTCCATAGTGACACATGTCCATAGTGACACATGTCCATAGTGACACATGCCCATAGTAACACATGTTCATAGTAACACATGTATGCAGGAACAAGTTTGCAGTATTGTAACACATGTTCATAGTCACACATGTTCATAGTGACACATGTTTAGAGTAACACATTCATAGTAACACATGTTCATAGTAACACATGTTCATAGTAACACATGTCCATAGTGTCACATGTCCATAGTGACACATGTCCATAGTGACACATGCCCATAGTGACACATGTCCATAGTGACACATGTCCATAGTGACACATGTTCATAATAACACATGTTCATAGTGACACATGTTCATAGTGACACATGTTCATAGTGACACATGTTCATAATAACACATGTATGCAAAAAGCTGCTATATAGCTGGAATTTTGGAGTGTGGTAAAACTATACTAAACTAACTGTATGCAGTAAGACATGTTCACAGTAACACATGTTTGCAGTAACACATGTTCAAAGTGACACATGTTCATAGTAACACATGTATGCAGGAACATGTATGCATTAACACATGTTCATAATAACACATATATGGAGTATCACACAAGTATACAGTAACATGTTTGCAGTAACACATGTTCATAGTAACACATGTATGCAGTAACACATGCCCATAGTAACACATGTTCATAGTAACTCATGTATGCAGGAACAAGTTTGCAGTATTGTAACACATGTTCATAGTCACACATGTTCATAGTGACACATGTTTAGAGTAACACATTCATAGTAACACATGTTCATAGTAACACATGTTCATAGTAACACATGTCCATAGTGACACATGTCCATAGTGACACATGTCCATAGTGACACATGCCCATAGTGACACATGTCCATAGTGACACATGTCCATAGTGACACATGTTCATAATAACACATGTTCATAATAACACATGTTCATAGTGACACATGTTTAGAGTAACACATTCATAGTAACACATGTTCATAGTAACACATGTTCATAGTAACACATGTATGCAGTAACACATGTTCATAGTAACACATGTCCATAGTAACACATGTCCATAGTGACACATGTATGCAGTAACACATGTTCATAGTAACACATGTTCATAGTAACACATGTCCATAGTAACACATGTATGCAGTAACACATGTTCATAGTAACACATGTCCATAGTGACACATGTTTGCATCAACACATGTTCATAATAACACATATATGATGGAGTATCACACATGTAAAGTATACAGTAACACGTTTGCAGTAACATGTTCATAGTAACACATGTATGCAGTAATGCATGCAGTAACACATGCACACAGTGTCTGTATCACTATGCAGTCTCTCTGTATTTGAAACTGTGAAATTGAGACTCCTTTCTTCACATCAGACCTTTGAGCCGAAGTCGTCCTACACAGCCCTGAAGGAGGGCAAGAAGAAGCTGCCTGTCACCACACCGCAACAGGCGATGGAGATACAGAAGTTTTATGAGAAAATAATGAAATCAGGGGGCAAACAAATCAAAGATCTGCAGGTAGGTTCCTATTGATGGGGAATTCAGGTGTGGGTGTTAGATCTGTGGTTGATTGTCTATATATCTGCAGATTTTAGAATAGTACTATGTTATTACAGTGTTCTTAATTTTGATTTCATATTCAACTCCCTGGGGAGAATACAGTAATGTATTATGATGTCAACAAGGTTATCACATGGAGATACTGTGGCACTCGTGAAGACCCGGGTTAGAATTGGTCTTCAGTAACCCATGTTTGTCGTAAGAGGCGAGTAACCTGATCGGGAGGTCAGGCTTGCTGACTTGGTTGACACATGTCATCATATCCCAATTGTGTAGATTGATGTTCATGCTGTTGATCACTGGATTGTCTGGTCCAGACTTCGATTTTTACAGACCGCCGCCATATAGCTGGAATATTGCTGAGTGTGGCGTAAAACAACAGACCAAACCAAACCAAGATACTGTGGCAAAGATAAAACAATGTTTGATGTTTAAAAAGTTTGGCTTGAACAAAAGGGGGCACAAATTTAATTACAAAACTTTTGTACTTCAAAACTTGATCACTGAACAAAATATAGAAATATGTTGTCCGGCCATGGGCAGTCCAGTCATTAGGGTGTTGCCAGTCGATTTGTGAGTTAGTACATTGAACATTTCCAATCAGTGACTACATTCCACACTACCATCTCTGCTTCAGGGTAAATCTCTCAATGCACCATCCACCAACTTCTGTCAGATGCTACAGGAGATAGCTGAGGTCCAGCGCTTTGAAGTCCAGTATTTTGATATAAAAGAGATTAGCGCATCAGGTAAGTGCACATATACAGGACTTGGATTTCCATGCACAAAAATACATTTGCTGACAAGGTTTACAGATGTCATCATATCCCAATTGCCTAGAGCGATGTTCATGTAGTTGATCACTGGATTGTCTCATCCTGATTTGATTAATTACAGTCTGCCGCCATATATCTGGAACATTGCTGAGTGCGGCATTAAACAACAAACAAACAAAATGATCCACAAAATATTAGTGTATAATGTGTTTAGTGTATAATGCTCATTTTTTCCGTTTGTAATACAAATTGTTCGAGTAATCTTTTACTCCTTCTAAATCCATGGTTTGAAAAGTGCATAGTGGATAGACCTGTTACTGGTTGCAAGGGATCGATGCTCATGCTGTTGATCACTGGATTGTCTGACCATTGATCACAGACCATTGCCATATGGCTGGGACATTGCTGAGTGTGGCGTAAAACTAAACTCACTTACTCACTCAACAACCAAACCACTGGTCCAAAAGACATGAGGATAAAAGGGAGACAACTCACATCCTTGACACTCATTGTTGTTTTGTCTCCTTGCAGGGCAACACCAGTGTCTTGTCCAGCTGTCCACAATGCCAGTAGCGGTCTGTCACGGCTCGGGACCCACTCTAGACGAAGCTCACGCTAATGCTGCCCACAATGCATTGCAGTACCTAAAGATAATGACAAAGTCGTAACCATGGACCCCAGGAAATAACATAGCCTCACTTTATTAAGTAGAATTTGGAGGACTGTTGTAGTAACTTATAAGCAAGTTTTTTGATTGGGCCAAATACAAATATTTGAATTTTATGAAGCACTGATATTGTATTTTACAGCAAGTGTATAGGGCTTCCTGTGTAGGGCTGCTTGTATTGAGCTCATTTTGGATAATGGTGAGGATAGGTTTTCTGCAGCCTGTGCTGGTCACAAGAGAAGGGTTTTATGTGTATGGTTCCTTGTGATTATGAGTTTGAATAGGTTCTTAGCAATATGTGATTGTCGGAAGAGGCAACAAAGTGGATCAGCTGGTGAGGATCAGCTGGTGAGGATCAGCGAGTGATGATTTTGTGCCAGTGTACCTAAACAACATATCACTCACTGGATTGTCTGGTCTGGATTATTCACTGGCTGTCATAAAACTTGAGGGGCGGTGGGGTAGCCTAGTGGTTTAAGCATTTGCTCGCCATGCCGATAACCAGGGTTTGATTCCCCACATGGGTACAATGTGTAAAGCCCATTTCTGGTGTCCCCTGTTGTAATATTGCTAAAAGCGGCGAAAAACCATACTCATTTACTCATAAACCTTTATAATTAAAGTGCAGGATTCAAAACATTTCTCCCACATCACGCTGTCTGACTAGGATAGAACTGAAATATTGCTCAAGCAGAGTAAACCCACCCAATTCTCTTCTCCCCATGTTCATAAACTCAGTTATTTTCTCAGTGCTAGATAAAATTGACGTATTTCTATTTGGTCCTGTATCTAGTATATCCCATTGAAAGAAGGTTTATTGTTCTTGAATGGCATTTTCTTCACTGTAGTCACCAGATGAATGTTTTTTAGGATTTTGTTTTACCAAAGTTTTTGAAGCATTTTTCTGTGGCTGTTTTATTGTGACATTGTATAAAACCAGATGGCTGCATTTACCTCCTTACCATGCTGTACAACAGACCCCAGTAACAGCAGGTGCTTGTCATTATGGCCAGCGGTTACAGCTTTGGACACACATTTGGCAATATTTTTGTGATTCTTTTCTAACATAGTAGGCGGCGGTTGGGAAGCCTAGTGGTTAAAGTGTTTACTTGTCGTGCCAAAGACCTGGGTTCAATTCCCCAAATGGGTACAGAGTGTGAAGCCCATTTCTGGTGTTCCCTGCCGTGATACTGCTGGAATATTGCTAAAAGTGGCATTAAACAAAACTAACATAGTACAGTCTGAGGAAACTGACTAATCAAGGATATTTTTTTGTAATAAATCTGTCAACAGGTCAGTAACAAGTGGTCCAGAAATCCTCGACTGTTGGCGAGTTTGAAACGATGGGGAATTATATAAGCTGTAGCCCAGCCAGTATACTCAGGAAATAGGTTTTTATGACAGGCATATTGTAGAACATTTGAAAATCTACACATGCTACAAGTCTGCAGTCTTATTGACACGCCCTAGCTTTAATGAAGACGTCTCTGGCTCAAGAGCTAAGGAATGGGGCATTAGATTCTTCCAGTTTCACATACTTTCTGCAATTTTTGTATTTAAATCTTTTTGTGAGATGTTGCAATTTTTCAAAGAAAACAGAAAAAATTACATGTCCTATTTTTGATGGTCTTCAATAGATGAAATACTTTTTGGTCAAACTAATGTACGGTACATCCAAATTGGTGCTAAATCCAACTGTCTGCCCTGGAGAAGCAGAAGATGAAAAGTAATGAATGGAAAATGTGATAGTGTGTTATTGAATGTTAAAGTACATACTTTCGTGTAGAATCTGTTGTACAGCAACATTGGACAGGGTTATCTCACTGCCAGATGTTTCTCTTACTCTGTAGCTTGTTAGACGTAGCGATGATGATTCCACGATTCATTGTGTCAAAACTTCTTGTGTGTATGGGCATTATCTCAGACTGTCAAGACAGTACTGCTTCATGAACACGCTTGGTGCTGATGTGGTTGGTAACTTGTGGCATCTACAGACTTTCCTGGTCGACATCTATCAACATGCTCTGTTGACATCTACCAGATTTCTGGGAACAATGTGTAAAGCCCACTTCTGGTGCCCCCAACCACGATATTGCTGGAATATTGCTATCGGCGGCCTAAAACCATACTCATTCATTCATTCTCCCATCTGTCTTGGTCGACGTCTACCAGCTCTGCTGGTCAATATCTACCAGCTTTAGCAGCATTAGCAGCATCTATCATCTCTATCAGTATCTACCAGCTTTCCCTGTCAACATTTACTGTACAGCCAGACGACAGTGCATGGAGCTGAAGAAACGATACAGATTCTTGTTTAGTTGTAGGATTACGCGGCAAACATCGAATTGATGGCACTTTGCACTTCATCTTAGTATGTTTTTTGACATTACAGTCTGTGTTGTGTGTTGTTTGAATGTACCGCTGTGGATGTGTTGTCCAGTCAGCTAAACCCCATGTGCTGCCATGAAACGAGTAGTCAGTTGTCGGCGTCCGAGTCTTTCCAGTCACTGAGCATCAGCTTTGTAGCTGCATCGATGGAGCTGAGTGTGCAGCTACATGTTCAATCACCTACGATAAATGATCTTGTATTGTCCATGTTGTAGCACAAATAGATTGTGATGTAAGACCATGTGAAAAGTGACTTCTCTCCAGATTCTTATTTTCTATAGGGGTGATAAGATAACTATTTATGTAAGGGCTGATTTGGCACCCCAAAACACAAGGATCGAATCCACATATGTTTACAAGTGTGAAATCATTTCTTGGTGTCTAAACTGGCATTCAATTTACTCACTCTCTTATTTTTCAAATGTTCCAGTCACCTGAAATTTTGTTTCTGACCTTTCCCTTTTCAATGATGAACAACGTCTCTTTTTTAAAAAGAAAAAAAGATATTTTAATGGTATTTTTGGCAACAATTGAATCTAAAAAAGTTAAATAACATCACCGCTAAAATAGGACTTTGTTCCATGGTCGGTTTCACTATTTTCAGTGCAGACATTGGGATTTTTGTGCCGAGTGTGAATTAGAGACATATCCATGTAATCAGGGCACTCATTTACTGTATGAATGATTCACATTATTGTTTCTGGGTTTTGTGTTACTTCTGACTTGCTGTGTCAGTATGCAGGGGCTTTGTCCATCTGTAATTAACATTCTTCGTTACTGGACTAAGACTGGCTTGGCTTCATCAGTACTCATTCTCATTTCAGCTTTCCTCGAAATCTGTCATGCCGCTCCTTGAAATCAACATGTTTACCAAATCTTTCATTAATATATACGTGATATACATCTGAAGACTGAAATGAAATTATGAAACATGGAATGAAATTAATTACTTGTGACACTTCTGCAGAGTGTGTGATTGTTTATTGTCCACTGCAAGGGGATATCAAATATCAACCCGTCTGCTCTACCAGACTATTTATTTCAAAATCGGTGAAATTGATTATTTCTGAGAGCTCTCCTGGTGGGAGATATAAACAGCTATTCAATCAGACTGAAATTAACTAATGACAAAGACAATGAAATTGATTATTTCAGAGAGCTCTTCTGCTGGGTCTCAGTGTCCATTGCAGGGAGATATATACAGTTATTCCACCTGACTGAAATGAACTAGTGACAAAGACAATGAAATTGATGACTTCTCAGCTCTCCAGCAGGGTCTGCGATTGTTTAGTGTCTGCATTCACAGCTGGGAGATACTACACACAGGTCTACTTCACAGGACTGAAATGAACTAGTGAAATAGGCACTAAAACTGAGTGCGTCTTTCCTTGTACATATACTGCTATCTACATATCTATGTAACTGCCATATGCTGGACATGCCATGGGGTTGAAGACGTGTGTCATGTGTTATAACCAATTTTTACTATTTAATACCAGTGAGGTTATGAGGTATCCTGGGACTAGCTAGGAGATTTTAGTCTTTTTTTGTTTTGATTTTTTAAACTTTTAATGTATGGTACAGATCAAATTTTGTACGTGTACACTCACATACGCACGTCTTGTGTGTGGGTAATTATTGTGTCAAATAAAAATGTAAGAATTTAAAGATCATTTGTGATTCATCAAGTTGATTGGTTTCGTGGTTGCATGCTGTCGTACTGGGTGCGTGAATCGTTGTTCATAATATCAATCACTAGCTTGTCGGGTTCAGACTTAATTTTGGGGATGACATCAGCTGGAATATTGTTGTGCGGTGCATACTGGGTTGAACAACAATCAGCAAACAACGTTATCAATGCCAGGCTCTGTAAGCCGGTACGGACTTGAGATTATATCAATCACATTCTACATTACAAAAATACACTTTAATAAGGGCAAAGAACTCATAGCAGGTGTAACCAGTAAGCCAGATGAATTGTGAATCATTTTGCGACCTCTTCAAACGGGCAGTATGTGACGTCTTAGGGACCGTTCATAATTTATGGCGTCAGCAATTGTGTACATAAAAATATTAAAAAATTTAGGGCTTCCACGGGTACTCGAGTACTCGAGGACGAGTCGGGTTTAGCTGGACTCGAGTCCATTTTAAAGGACTCGAGGACTCGAAAAGAGGAGATAACTCGAATTATTGACGTTGACAGACTGCCTGCCATGTGCTAAGCATGAGCGGCCGTTAACGTCTAATATTAAGATAAGATATAACTTTATTATCCCGGAGGAAATTCTTATACATCCAACTGTCTCAATATGAATATGTACACAGTTCACAAAAATATACACAATAATTACATGCTCAAAACGAATGCTATTTACACAATAAAACTGACATGATATAATTCAATTAACCACATAGGTAAAGAGGCTGAATAATTCTAGTTGTAATCACGTGATGGTGATTAAAAAATATGTGTTGTATTCACGAATACTTGATGGTATGAAAGACTGTCGAACTGTTTTGAGGGAAGGTAATCGACAGCAGCGTCCAGAAGGAAGTAGTTCAAAATGGTGAGATTAAATATGTCAACTATCAAATCTAATTTTAGTTGCCTTTGTGACAATCTGGCGCTCAGAGATAAAGGGAATATACTTGAAAGACACCCCAGAAATTTTGCATGCAGTATTAACAATTTTGAAAAGCTTGTTTTTGTTGCAATGAGACAGACCCCCATACCAACGTAGAAAATTGTTGGTCAACACACTTTGAATAAAGGTTTGATAAAAAACTGTCATTACGGTTTTGTCAATGCCTTGACGATAATAATGTTCAGAATCGGAAATTAGGCCAGTACAGTGGCGTCATCTGCGAATTTCACAGTAAACACGTCATATATTGACAAGTAACAGTCATTAGTATACAAAACGAAGAGTACGGATGAAGGAACACAGCCATTTGGTTCTGCAGTAGAGGTTGAGAGAAAAGAAGATTGATAGCCATTTACACTGACATACTGAGTTCTATGTACCCTGAATTCTTTAACCCATCTGATAATGTTATTATTAACACCTATATTAATTAGTTTACTCCTCACACGGTGTGGCTGTGTGGTATTAGTTGTTACAAGTCTGCAGATGAGAGTAAATATTATACATCGTTTGAAATTTCACTTCTTAAAATGATAAGGTAACTATCTTGACAATTGATAGACATGGAGAAAGATAAAAAAATCAAATGTATGGGCGTATCTTGATCTGGATAGAGAAAAGAGAAAAATAACCAAATGCCGCCTGTGCGGTATATCACTGCGTTTTGCAGGCAGTACAAGAAGTACGATGAAAGAAACAAGTGTCAGGTAAACATCCAAATACTGATTCTGACCAATGGGAAATGTTAGTCACATAACGATATATAGTCGGAATGAAGTAAGTGTTCACTTGTGTGATCGGAACACATGTCATGCAAGTTACGCTATTGTTTGCTTGAAAGGTATGAATTTCGAGTACTCGGGTCCGAGTCGAGTCTCACCCCTCGAGTACTCGAGTCCAAGAAAATGGACCCGTTGAAGCCTTTGGTACAAAGTGTGCTTATGAAACCCTGTGATATTCTGATGCCAGAGATTGTTACACAGAGAAGAAATCCAGCTTGTTTTTCTTATTTTTGAAGTCATCTTCTGAACTGCAGTTACTTAATAACATTAGGAATGCCTTGAAACGCGAATAAGCCAGCAAAGTTGTTCGCTTTCGGTAGGTTACATACAGTCAGCCGCCGAGTCGGGGTGTATAATTCGAACGCAATACTCCACAGAGCTGTGAATTATTATGTACCTGTACATGTATTTAACACCACACTACATCTTTTTCAAGTCAGAATATTTGTATTTCTAAATGACGTTATCATAATGCTCACGGAAAATACCGATTAGCGGAGTCGTCGTTGTAAGGTATGACGTCACAGTTTCATAACAATAGTGTGACGTCATAAGTCGAGACAAACGGACATGTGTTTATGTCGATGAAGACCAAAAACAGCAGAGTGCCGTAATCTAATCAAGGTGGCTTCGATTATGGATACAGTCACAGATTCTACGAGGATTCGGCGTTGTTTTGATTTGGTATATGAAGAAGTCCGCCATTATCTGAAAATGTTGTCACATTTTTTCCGAAGAATCTTTGGATTACGGGTAAGGGAAGATGATTATGAATGTGATGCTGATGTCAACGCATGTGAATCTCAGTCGTCATGTGTGAACACAGAAACAGCGTCGTCTTCACACGACGTGGACGTAAACTTTGAAAATGAACATGAAAATTGTAAGGTTCAGTGTGTGCAACCGCCCGCTACCTTCAATGACGGCCTGGAAATTGCAGATGAACCTGAGTTAGAAGATGTAAACGTTTCGTTGTATGTTAACTTTGATGCCAGCGAATTCCCACTTGGGGACCACGAGGCCTACCAACCAGGTCCCGATGAATATTCGGACGATGATGATAGTTCTTCCCCTGTCAGCTTCATAGCCAGTGAGTCGGAACTGAGTCTAACAACGTCGGAGTCAACGGAAACCTCCGATCAATTGACAGTCAACTCTGACAGTAAGTACGTTCCGCAACCAATGCTGTTCATTGATCGACCGTGGAAGGACCTAAATCCTGATTGGGGGCCACCTGTTGGTCCTGGTAAGAAAATGTTAGAGCTATTACGACATGCACCCGATTGTCACAAAAGGCACCTTCCAAATATGAAAAAGGAAGCAGATATTCCACTTCCAGATGACAATGTCTGTGAATGGAATGACCGTGATCAGGAAGATTTCTATGGCAAGAATGCCAGAAAATCGGTTAGTCAAGAAAGGACATCTACTCCAAAGAAGGGAAATCAGCCTCTGAGGTATTCTTGTAAAATGTCTTGTGGCAGCCCCGACCAGTGCCTTCAGATGCTGGGAGTACCTCCGTCTGAGGCACAGGATGCGGTGCACACAAATGCACCACCGCGGCAGCCGCCCATACAAGACTCTTCAGAGGAGAACAGCATATATAAATTTCAGGCTAAACCTAAGAAAAATGTATGGGCCAAGGTAGAGCCAAAGTTTACAATGGGAAATAGCGCCAACAAAGAACCAACTGGAATGAACGACTCAAGGAATGACTCGATGAATGACTCGAGGATTGACTCAATGGATGACTCGATGAATGAATCCTATACCAATGAAACTAATGCCGACTTTTCTATCCTATCGCAGGACGTACAGAATAAACAAAAGCATATACCAAAACGAGCTCAGTTCACCTTCAAACCACGATCAGACTTCAGAACCAAGGACAAATATACGTACACCTTCGAAACCTATTCCACCCTCTCCGAGTGTAAGATCCTGAAGTGTCAGCTAGGTCGGTTTGAGCAGGAGTATTGTAACTGTAAACCGTCAGCCCCGTCTCCACAGTTGTGTTTCTTTACGCCCTTAGTCAGACACAAAGCAGTCCTAGCCAAACCTGAAGATGGCGTTACGATCGAACCTCATTTCGACCTCTCCTGCCTCGATAACGAGACAGGAGGTTTTCTGTACGAGGCCCCCAGTGCTTTCGAACGAGCGGCGTATAGAATGGACGATCAAATAGCTCCCGAACACTGTAAAAAGGGAACACGGGTAATTCAGAACGAGAAGGTCAAGGTGAAACGAAGGGGAGTCCCGAACAAACATCTAATCAACAAGAAGAAGGAATATGAATACGCTGTTGAGGTTCCGGGAGAAGATACTGATTCTGTGGACGTTGAAGCCTGTGATCTTATCGAGCAAATGGAGGCTAGCATCCATGAGGTCGAGGTCAAGGAAAAGGACAAGGTCGAGGTCAAGAAGATCTCCCCTCGTATGGACTTCCGGCACTACGAATGCGTTCCCGTAGCAGTGGTTCAGAAGAATAAGCAGGGGGACGACATCGAGACCCAGTATGCCGTCACACCATCGAGCAAGAAAAAGAACAAGACCAAGAACAAGAACAAACCATCCAAGAACCAGGAGAAAGATAATTCCACTTGTGAGAACATCCGCACAGCTCTATTGGGAGGCGAGACCAGTAGGAACAGAGGCAGGAACAGACACAGATATAATTGAACTGGGTTTAGATATTTGCAATGGAGAAAGTGCTATACGCCTTTTCAAGAAGGAATTTAGTGTATTTGAATATTTATAGTACCTTGAGGGTGATTTAGATAAGTCGTATATTATACCGTCCTACAATAAGACATACATTGTTAATTCAATGCGGCGCCAAAGCAATCGTCATTACTAATAGTTCACGGAAAGGTATACATTACGTACCGTGTGTAGTATGAAGCGATTGACGACAGTTAAAACAAACTCGATTAGATGCCGTAAAGCAGTCTCATCGAAAATCACAAGTCCGATACGACACCTCTTTACGTGGATATACGAGGCTTCTAAATTGTCGTGGTACGTTCCGAATGAGAAAAATAATTGCTCGCTATTATATTTAATGTTAACTGAAGTTGAGTACAAATGTCTGATAGTTACAAACAAATTTAAGTAAGGTGCTCTACTCCATGGTGAAAAGTGAACGTTCACTGTCTATAGGTGCAGTTAAAGACGATGAACAGTTTATGAAGTTACACCGTGTACTAAAACAATACAGTGTACACATGCTGCTTAGTATCATGTATAAACCTTGGCCTAGACTTTCGAAGCTCTCTTAGCGCTAAGATAGTCGTAAATGCCATTCATTAACATTACTTACGACTAGCTTAGCGCTAAGAGAGCTTCGAAAATCTAGGTCCTTGTCTGCTGAGTGCAATGGGCATTACTTCCACTGTACAGTGTACATGTTGATTGTCTCCCTGTACAATGTACACGTTGATTGTCTGCCGTGTTCAGTGTACACGTTGTCTGCCGTGTACAGTGTACACGTCGATTGTCTGCTGTGTACAGTGTACACGTCGATTGTCTGCCGTGTACAGTGTACACGTTGTCTGCTGTGTACAGTGTTCATGTTGATTGTCTCCCTGTACAGTGTACACGTCGATTGTCTGCCGTGTACAGTGTACACGTCGATTGTCTGCCGTGTACAGTGTACACGTTGTCTGCTGTGTACAGTGTTCATGTTGATTGTCTCACTGTACAGTGTACACGTTGATTGTCTGCCGTGTTCAGTGTACACGTTGTCTGCTGTGTACAGTGTACACGTCGATTGTCTGCCGTGTACAGTGTACACGTTGTCTGCTGTGTACAGTGTTCATGTTGATTGTCTCACTGTACAGTGTACACGTCGATTGTCTGCTGTGTACAGTGTGCACGTTGATTGTCTGCCGTGTACAGTGTACACGTTGATTGTCTTCTGTACAGTGTGCATGTTGATTGTCTGCCGTGTACAGTGTACATGTTGATTGTCTCCCTGTGCAGTGTACACGTCGATTGTCTGCCGTGTACAGTGTACATGTTGATTGTCTCCCTGTACAGTGTACATGTTGATTGTCTGCTGTGTACAGTGTACATGTTGATTGTCTCCCTGTACAGTGTACACGTCGATTGTCTGCCGTGTACAGTGTACATGTTGATTGTCTCCCTGTACAGTGTACATGTTGATTGTCTGCTGTGTAAAGTGTACTCGTTGATTGTCTCCCTGTACAGTGTACACGTCGATTGTCTGCCGTGTACAGTGTACAAGTTGATTGTCTCCCTGTACAGTGTACATGTTGATTGTCTGCTGTGTACAGTGTACTCGTTGATTGTCTCCCTGTACAGTGTACACGTCGATTGTCTGCCGTGTACAGTGTACATGTTGATTGTCTGCTGTGTACAGCGTACACGTCGATTGTCTGCCATGTACAGTGTACATGTTGATTGTCTGCTGTGTACAGTGTATACGTCGATTGTCTCCTTGTGCAGTGTACACGTCGATTGTCTGCCATGTACAGTGTACATGTTGATTGTCTCCCTGTACAGTGTACATGTTGATTGTCTCCCTGTACAGTGTACATGTTGATTGTCTCCCTGTACAGTGTACCCGTCGATTGTCTGCTGTGTACAGTGTACACGTTGATTGTCTGCCGTGTACAGTGTACACGTCGATTGTCTGCCGTGTACAGTGTACATGTTGATTGTCTTCTGTACAGTGTGCATGTTGATTGTCTGCCGTGTACAGTGAACATGTTGATTGTCTCTCTGTACAGTGTACACGTCGATTGTCTGCCGTGTATAGTGTACATGTTGATTGTCTCCCTGTACAGTGTACATGTTGATTGTCTGTTGTGTACAGTGTACACGTTAATTGTCTGCTGTGTACAGTGTACACGTCGATTGTCTGCCGTGAACAGTGTACATGTTGATTGTCTGCTGTACAGTGTACATGTTGATTGTCTGCCGTGTACAGTGTACATGTTGATTGTCTGCTGTGTACAGTGTACACGTTGATTGTCTGCTGTGTACAGTGTACACGTTGATTGTCTCCCTGTACTGTGTTCATGTTGATTGTCTGCTGTGTACAGTGAACACGACGATTATCTGGTGTGTACAGTGTATACGTCGATTGTTTGTTGTGTACAGTGTACACGATTGTCTGCTGTGTACAGTGAACACCTCAAGTTTCAGCTGTCTAATTTGTACTCGTCGTTTGGTATGTACATTGAACGTTTATTGTCAGTTGACGCATCAAGTATGTAGATTATGTACAGAGTACGTTTTAACTGCTGTGTAAACCCATTTGAGTGCCGGGTTCAGTGTACATTCAATATGTGTCAGAATATTAAAAAAACGGGTATGTTTAAAATACAATAAATTCATATCATTTTTAATTCCTCTTCTTTTTAATTTTCTTTAAATTCATTAAGCTTTTTCGCTGCCAGTGACGCGACATCAGTGAACAGTGCCATTTAGAAAGTCATGTGTACATGTTATATTTGGGATTACACTCTCTCAGTGAAGTACAGATTCTGTTACTTTTGGGTGAAATCCTTTCCGGGTTTCGAAGCCACACTGTCAGAGTCAGGCACCTAATCGCCAGCACACAAAGTCAGCGATCTAACCCAGTCAGCCATGGAACGGTCTCGGGTCGACAAACCAATTGGTTACGGCGGCACCTTTGGAGGAATCCACCGCAACGTAGAACAACATGGTCTATGACGTAGTTCCAGGAGTTCGGGGCGCTAAGAGGCTTTAGTGCGCAATAAACGTCGACAAAAGAGGATTTGGTAGTTTCAGGGAGTTTCTTAATCCAACCGCGTGGTACAGTGCTCATGATATCAAACACTAGGGCTTCTGACCAAGTTCCCGTTATTTACAGGCCTCTGTCACATCGCTGGAATATTGCTGAGTGTTGCATCTGTTACAAAAAATAAACATCATATCATTGTATTTATTTCATGGCATTGAAGTTACCGAATAAGCATGTCAAAAACACAAAGACAAAACAGACTGTTTATTTCACTATAACCTAGGTAAAAGAGAAAACAACAATTTTTATTCCAAACTATTGCGACATGACATTTTGGGTAGGGAAGGAAAATCATCTGCAATCTCCATTGATTGAAGTGCCTCATAAATAATGCGTCTTAACTCCGATAAAGATGTTTTGTTCAACAATGATTGGTGCAATTGTGTGAAACCATAAAACCTCACCGCATCTACGATATCTGCCTCGAAGGTCTGTTCAGTGGTTGCTGGAACCGGCTTGGTATGAGAAGGGTATTGGTTGTCACTGCAGTGTTTTGCGTTGTATGTCTGACGGAGTGGTGCTGGTACTGCAGGGTGGTGGTGGATGGTACTCTTGCTGTGGTGGTTGGTACTCTTGCTGTGGTGGTTGGTACTCTTGCTGTTTAGGATGGTACTTTTGCTGTGGTGGATGGTACTCTTGCTGTGGTGGATGGTACTCTTGCTGTGGTGGATGGTACTCTTGCTGTGGTGGATGGTACTCTTGCTGTGGTGGATGGTACTCTTGCTGTGGTGGTTGGTACTCTTGCTGTGGTGGATGGTACTTTTGCTGTGGTGAATGGTACTCTTGCTGTGGTGGATGGTACTCTTGCTGTGGTGGTTGTACTCTTGCTGTGGTGGTTGGTACTCTTGCTGTGGTGGTTGGTACTCTTGAGGTGGTGGATGGTACTTTTGCTGTGGTGGATGGTACTCTTGCTGTGGTGGATGGTACTCTTGCTATGGTGGTTGGTACTCTTGCTGTGGTGGTTGGTACTCTTGCTGTGGTGGATGGTACTCTTGCTGTGGAGGTTGGTACTTTGCTGTGGTGGATGGTACTCTTGCTGTGGTGGTTGGTACTCTTGCTGTGGAGGTTGGTACTCTTGCTGTGGTGGGTGGTACTCTTGCTGTGGTGGATGGTACTCTTGCTGTGGTGGATGGTACTCTTGCTGTGGTGGTTGGTACTCTTGCTGTGGTGGATGGTACTCTTGCTGTGGAGGTTGGTACTTTTGCTGTGGTGGATGGTACTCTTGCTGTGGTGGTTGGTACTCTTGCTGTGGAGGTTGGTACTCTTGCTGTGGTGGGTGGTACTCTTGCTGTGGTGGATGGTACTCTTGCTGTGGTGGATGGTACTCTTGCTGTGGTGGTTGGTACTCTTGCTGTGGTGGATGGTACTCTTGCTGTGGTGGTTGTTACTCTTGCTGTGGTGGTTGGTACTCTTGCTGTGGTGGATGGTACTTTTGCTGTGGTGGTTGGTACTCTTGCTGTGGTGGATGGTACTTTTGCTGTGGTGGATGGTACTCTTGCTGTGGTGGATGGTACTCTTGCTGTGGTGGTGGGTACTCTTGCTGAGGTGGTTGGTACTCTTGCTGTGGTGGTTGGTATTATTGCTGTGGTGGATGGTACTTTTGCTGTGGTGGATGGTACTCTTGCTGTGGTGATTGGTACTCTTGCTGTGGTGGTTCGTACTCTTGCTGTGGTGGATGGTACTCTTGCTGTGGAGGTTGGTACTCTTGCTGTGGTGGTTGTTACTCTTGCTGTGGTGGTTGGTACTCTTGCTGTGGTTGTTGGTACTCTTATTGTGGTGGATGGTACACTTGCTGTGGTGGTTGGTACTCTTGCTGTGGTGGTTGGTACTCTTGCTGTGGTGGATGGTACTCTTGCTGTGGAGGTTGGTACTCTTGCTGTGGTGGTTGGTACTCTTGCCGGCTGTGGTGGATGGTACTCTTGCTGTGGTGGTTGGTACTCTTGCTGTGGTGGATGGTACTCTTGCTGTGGTGGATGGTACTCTTGCTGTGGAGGTTGGTACTCTTGCTGTGGTGGTTGGTACTCTTGCTGGCTGTGGTGGATGGTACTCTTGCTGTGGAGGTTGGTACTCTTGCTGTGGTGGTTGGTACTCTTGCTGGCTGTGGTGGATGGTACTCTTGCTGTGGTGGTTGGTACTCTTGCTGTTGTGGATGGTACTCCTGCTGTGGTGGATGGTACTCTTGCTGTGGTGGATGGTACTCCTGCTGTGGTGGATGGTACTCCTGCTGTGGTGGTTGGTGCTGTGGCTGTTATGGTTGGTACTGTACCGGTGATGGCTGGAGAAACTTCCTCTTTCCTTCCTGTGAAGACCCATGTGAAAGGCTGAGGATCGTCGGAACCCTTGATGGAAGGCTGTTTTCAGCAACTGCACGTGGAGCTGTTTGGTTTCAGGACATGACTTTGCAGTCCGATCTATGTAGAAGGGCAAACATCAACAGGATCTGTAGTCTGTGTATCCATGGAGGATGTTGAAGTTAGCCAAATATCTGCCCACCAACTTTCAGCAGCTTGTTGTCCAGTGTTTTGGGAAGATGTACTGAGGTCGTTGTTTTGGAATGCTGCTGGGTGCTCTCAGATAAACTGGCTAATGTGAGATGTGTAAGTGTTTTGTCGTTTAACGATGAAAGGAAACATGGTGTCGTTAGAGACAGTCAGGTGGAGAATCATGGCAACAGGTGTGCTCAGACCTCACCATCTCGACTTTTTCAGGTTGGTCCCACTTACTAAATCGAAGATGAACAATCCCTGTTCAGACCTCCTGGTTGTGTAAGTAACAAAGCGGGTCTCCCCTTAGGGAACATTTGCCACTCGGGTCCGGTGTGCGTTCTGTCATGTGACCATCAACATTTACCTTTCGACAGCTATTCTCAGTAACAATAAACATGGCAGCTGCCTCCTTAAACCATAATCCTGAATGTTATATTTTGTCTACCCAGAGTTACACCCAAAAGCTAGCAATTCAACAGGTGATTACTGTAACAATTACTCATGTCGATCATTATACAAAATAAATAAGGACCCGATGAATCGAGTCTCAAACTGAATTCGTCAAAATTAATCAACTGTTTTTCTATACGAACATTCATTTAAATATGCTTAGTTTCACCTTTTGGTGTTCATTTTGTCCCAATAATCCGGCATCTGAACGTGATCTTTTCTTTTCACACTTTTTAAAAATCGAAAACGAGGCTTGTAATGCATTGCTCATGCGTATAGCTTTACTTGCTCAGAAACTAGACCAGGCTATTTGATCGTGTTTGACAAACTGAGATTACGTGGAATGATAGGAAACGGTTAAACAAAACTTGAAATATAGAATATTTAAATGAAATGAAACGGAATAAATTAATGGATTTGATACCCCAACCCCAGCTGGGGTGATTTGATACCTCAGCAAGTACTTGCACGCCCAGACCCGAGTATATGATACTTAATAATATAATAGGGGATACCAATATCTAAAAATATGTAACAGATGGAAACAAATTAACTGTAGCTAGTAATCAAACTAAATATATACTTCCTATCAAATGTTTAAACTCACTTAAAACACTCACTATATGTTATGTATATTATATGGCTACATCGAAGATTGATTTCTCTACTAACTTTGGGGAACCAACTGCAAACCTTATGCAGATGAATTGAACGAGGATCATGCATTAAAATTGATGAAGAGCATGTGCAAATATCGTGCATGCATGTGAACAGCTGCGTTTTGCTGTAATGTTTTGTTAAGAATTCGCCAATTGTCACTGATTTTTATCATTTATTGAACACATGACAATAATCTTTTCAACGATACGAATTTGTTTTACAAAACATCAGTTCATGTGTAAACAGTACCTTTAAACACTATGGAATATTTTGCAAAATTTAGTTTAGAACAGTTGCTTGAAGTAAGTGGCTATATTTACACTAGAGAGTCTAAACTTTTGACGGGGGTATATATACAAAAGTATTAATATTTGGGAAAGGATAAACTTAAGAAAATAAATATATCCTAAGCTGAAGCAGGTCATTAAATAGTTGTTCATAAGTATGTGTCTATATACACTAGGGCTGCGCAATATAACCGGTTTACCGGTATTTGCCAGTTCAGACATGAAAACGATACGTATTGCGATACGCTGATCGAAAACCGGTATTTTACTTGCATTCGGAAAACTTCGCAACACTCGGAAATATTCGGATATTTCCTTGTTTCATTTGTGCCAAATATTGTTTACGTTTCTATTTTGTTATAACTGAAAGTTTTTATTAAAGCCTAATAAAGCGTATTGATTTTGTTGTGTTTTAGCTTTATAAATCAAGCATTAACTCGATTATAAGTATTTTCTTGTTTAAGAATACTTCATGCTTCATGCAATACATTGCATACATGTGGCAATATATGCTTTCGCATCGCAATATATCGCAATGTGAAAATTCTGTGCAATAACCATCCCTACTATACACATATACAGATCACCTAGAAATACTGACGAACCCATTAAAAGACAATATGCTACAGTACAGATGGAAGACTAACCTTGTAAATACACAGAGGGTTAAACCTTTCACTGCTGTGTGAAGCTGCTTGACTGTCCAAGTGCTCGAGAGACTACAGTAGCAGGGTGTCAAAACAACCTTAGCACTAAGACTACATTAAGTCTACGTTAAGGTATGGGAGATACGGTCACCTTAGCGCTGAGATCGCTTTGTACAACTGTGTAACGATTGTGTAATCAAGACAAAGGACTAAGACCAGTCAGGGCTTTGGCCATTGTAAGGTTGTTACATTGATTGATATGCTTGACTCGAGCATGCTTCAGTTGTACTATAAGATGCGGCAACAACATCTCAGTATGCTAAAATAACCACATCCAAAGGTGTGCATTATGATTATAAACATGTATATCTGCAACTACAGTAGCAGGACCTACTGACATATGATACTGCCACACAAATTATAACACTGCCACACATATTATAACACTGCGACACTAAATATAACACTGCGACACTAAATATAACACTGTCACACAAAATATAAGACTGTCACACAAAGTATAAGACTACCACACAAACATATAACACTGCGACACAAATTATTACACTGTGACACTAAATATAACACTGAGACACTAAATATAACACTGCGACACTAAATATAACAAACTATAAGACACAAAATATAAGACTGCCACACAAAATATAAGACTGCGACACAAATTATAACACTGCCACACTAAATATAACACTGAGACACTAAATATAACACTGCCACACAAAATATAAGACTGTTACACAAAATATAAGACTGCCACACAAAATATAAAACTGTCACACAAAATATAAGACTGTTACACAAAATATAAGACTGCCACACAACATATATCACTTCCACACTAAATAGGACACTGCCACACAAAATTGAGCATTGCCACGCAAAATATAACACTGCCACACAACATATAACACTGCCACGCTAAATAAAACACTGCCACACACAATATAACAACGCCACCCTAAATAGAACACTGCCAAACTAAAAATAACACTATCACACTAAATTTAACACTGGCACACTACATATATAACACTGCCACACAAAATATAACACTGCCACACAAAATTTAACACCACACAAATTTAAAATATAACACTGCCACATTACATATAACACTGCCACACTAAATACAACTTTGTCACACAATATATAACACTGCCACATTACATATAACACTGCCACACTAAATACAACTTTGTCACACAATATATAACACTGCCACATTACATATAACACTGGCACACAAAATATAACATTGCCACATTACATATAACACTGCTACACTAAATATTACACTGTCACACTAAATGTAACATTGCCAAACAAAATATAACACAATCACACTGAATTTAACACTGCCAGACTAAATATAACACTGCCACACAAAATGTATCACTGCCACACAAAATATAACATTGCCACAATAAATATAACACTGCCACACTACATATAACATTATCTTACCTCACACATAAATGTCGCTTTCTGATTGAAAATAATAGAAGAGCGCTCAGCCAATGTACCCCGCTTACAAGCAAGTAACATTTCAATGTACCCCGCTGTCAATGGCAACTCATTCTGTACTTCGTGGTAGTAATTCTTTATCTCGAATAACATTGAATCACGTATGATGTACGGAAATTACCGATGTTTTGCGAATGCAAATCGACGGAAGGGAGATAACTCTAAATCTAGCATTAGTGCATTAGTTGCTGATTGACAAAGTGAGAGTAAATAAAAGTCCATAATTTACAAAGTCTATAATTTCTTCAAGGATGACAATGACAGGGGGTGACCCAAGTATGCAATTACTAAATAAAACATTGTTGTTGAGAATCCGTTAACGCACGTGTATCTCGCTTTTCGCGTTGTTCCTTTAGTTGCCAATGCGCCCTTGTAAACAAACTGGGAAATCGCAAGGATAAATGATGACAGTTTCTTAAACAACTTTTTTATTTTTGTGACACAAATTATGCATTTTTTTCTAGAGTTGGTCTGTTGATTCTTTTATGTCTATTTGTTTTTTTATTGCACTCCGCGTTGGATTGATTCAGTCAAGTTTTATGTCTATTTGTTTTTGTGTTAGATTGCAATTCACCAAACTTCACCAAACACACACAAGTAGCCAATAGACAAAAAAATAAATAATAGAGTTATTTCCCTTCCATCGATTTGCATTCGTAAAACATCGGTCATTTCCGTACATCATACGTGACTCAGTTATTCGAGATAAAGAATTACTAACACGGAGAACCAAATGAGTTCCCACAGTTCGGCATTCCCAGCGGGTAACACAGAAAATATTACTCGCTTGTTAGCGGGGTACATTGAAAATAATTGAAGAGCGCTCATCCAAGCAGAAAACGACATTATGTGTGAGTTAAGATAAAATAAAATAACGCGTACAACAAGGATATTTCTTTGGTTGGTGTCCCATCACACGTTACTTTAAGAAAATATGCTTCTTAGTTTAAAAAGGAGGCGATGCTTTAAACAATAGATTGGGCTTGGTGGAGGAATGCATCATGAACGGCTGAAATGAAGTATCCTAAAACCTTGATGTCGTTTGACAGCTGTACAGGAATCTGTATCGAAACGTCGCAATCACGCAATAAAAAAACTCTTATCCATAAAGTGTATGAGTGAGTTGAAATTTAAAGTCACATCGGCAATATTTCAGCCATATCGGGACTAAAACAAGTTTTAAACTTCATCATAAATACATGTAAGTCACTAAAAGCCTGTCAACGAAGGACAGTAAA